CTCTGGATCATTTATCCCTCGACGCTCGCTTCCCCTGTTTTTCGCCCGTATTTCGATCCCCACTACTATTCCCCTCATGCGTGCTCATGCGCGTTCGCGAAGCTCTCCGCAGCGGTACCGTGAAAATCAGTGCATACCCCCACCAACTATTGGTCCCCACCATGGTCGCGTCGTCCCCACTTTCCGGCCGAGGGATAAATGATCCGACCCCTGCAGCGAAGGCGCATGAGGAGAATAGCAGTGGGGATCGAAATACGGGCGAAAAAGAGGGGAAGCGAGCCGTGCGGGAAAAATTATCTCATCCCTGCCGTCAGATCCTGCACCAGACCTGCCAAAATTCTGCCACTAGTAGATTTGGCAGCCTTGGACAGCCTGCAAACGCAGCAACAACTATAGTCACTGCGTCACTGTAATATATACTGATATATGTAGTAGTCACTACCATAGACTACAATACCTAGCATCTATAGCGTCTATAGCTTGTCGTCGCCTCTCTCTATCTGTCGCCATCTCAGAATAAAAATTTGTTTTAGGAGCAATTGACGTTTGTTAAGCTCCGTTGTTGTTTACGTTATTACTTGCTTGGAATAAAATTGTTTTAGGTAGTAAAACGAAAAATGGGCGAGGATTACAACGGAGGTGAGTATCAAAAAACTTCCGAATTTCCGGCCGTGATTCTCGTCATCGTTCCCGCGTTACAACCGGGTAAATAAGTCGGGTGATTGTAGTAATGGCCGGAGAAAGATACTCGCGAGAATAATAAAGTGACCGCGAGTGCATTTCGTTTCAAGTCGTTCCTTTATCCGGAGAAACGTCTTAGATCGGCGAACGCACAGCTTTCACGCGATCGAAGTTGCATACGAAAGTTTCTAACGAGCTCCCGTGAATTCGTTGTTAACCTGAAATCAAGGATCTATTACGAAGACCGTCTTCATGGGTACATTTCTCATTATAGGAACTATTATATCACTTTAAAGAATCTGTACATCGTCCATTTCACTTTTTTCCTTACGAATTGCAACAGAATTGAAAAGCTGTTGCAATCGTTCGAATTCTGATTTTGGACTTTGAGGTTTCGTTAACGAACGAACGTAACATGTAGGTATGTACAAAATGTCGCAAGTGATGCGAGCGCGAGATGCGATGTATGTTGAGGCACTGGTATAGGTATACAGGCACAGGTATAGGTGGCAGCTGATTTATTTTCATTGGTTTACGAATAGTTTCAACTATATGGAACTATTAAAAGAGATTCATATTTTTCGAATAGCTCCGATTTCCGGTCGTCGGATAATCGAATGGATGATGTTATTTGAACAGATCGAGATCGTCAAGATCGCGACAAGGACAGGGACAGGGATCGCGATAGAAGGCACAGGTCGCGCAGCAGGGATCGTCGAAAACGTTCGCGTTCACGTTCCAAGGATCGGCGAGATCGGAAACGAAGTAGTTCACCCAAAAAGAGCCGTAGCTCCAGGAGAAGGAAGCCGTCTCTATATTGGGATGTTCCACCACCAGGTTTCGATCACATTAGCCCGTTACAGGTATTAATGAAATTTACCTTCTCTCTCTGTACATATACATACTATATATTGTTCCCTGTTTAATTGTGCACAGTATAAAGCCATGCAAGCTGCTGGACAGATACCGGCAAACATCGTGGCGGACACGCCACAAGCAGCTGTGCCAGTCGTGGGTAGTACCATAACTAGACAAGCCAGGAGACTTTACGTAGGAAACATTCCGTTCGGTGTGACTGAAGAGGAAATGATGGAATTCTTTAATCAGCAAATGCATCTATCTGGTCTTGCTCAGGCTGCTGGAAATCCAGTATTAGCGTGTCAGATCAATTTAGATAAAAACTTTGCCTTCTTAGAGGTACAATTAAATTTACTTGACGACGTCCTTTTCAAGTATTTGTCAGTTTTCCTTTTAATCGGGGGGGAGCAAACGGTAATCGAGCCACTTTTTAGTTCCGCTCGATAGACGAGACGACGCAAGCAATGGCATTCGACGGTATCAACTTCAAGGGACAAAGTCTAAAAATAAGAAGACCCCACGACTATCAGCCGATGCCGGGAATGACCGATAATCCAAGTATGAACGTGCCAGGTACGGTTCCCGGTATGTTTTACACATACACCTTTACTCTGCGCCTATACTACGGTCGAGAAACGTTTCTCTCACGTTTCGCTTCTACTGCAGATACATTTTGTAACTCTCTCTCTCTTTTATTGCAGATTCTCCACACAAGATCTTCATTGGTGGTTTACCCAATTATTTGAACGAAGAACAGGTATGCAAACAGGTTTATAACACATTTTCGTTATTGCACACCTTTGGAAGCAGTTTTTATTCGCTGATGCCTGCTGCCGGTACATGGAAATTCGTCGCGTTTCACGCTTGTTCAATTTAACACACGGTTCGATCGGTACGTCGTGCGTGCAGGCATCGGGGATTAAAACGACTGTGCTGCTGTATAACAATGCTGCGGGATTATACTTGGGATACACGCTAGTTCTCAGCATTGTGAGTCATACCAAAGGATTAAATTATGACATAGGTATTTAGCTATTTAGCGGAGATCAAAGTTACGAAGATGCGTAACGACTGGCCAAATGGTACAGAGGTACGTATGTGCGCGTGTCCATTGGATTCCAGCGTTGATCAGGCTTTTATTTAGCTAGGCGAAAAATCGAATTCCACGTCTCTTCCGGTGTCGGACGCCTGAACGGCGGCGTAATAGAAACCTCCGTCCGTCGTCTCGTATTTCTTCTCGGAACGTCATTATTACGTTAGATAGGCGACAGGGAAATGGTTAGAGGTGTTACAGAGTTCGCGTCGGTACGCGTTTGCAGCCGCAGCAGTCGCATTTCTTTTACAGTCTTTCTAGGAACCCGATCGTCGTGGATACACCCGGCCAAGGGGATACGAAATTTTTCGTTCGATGATTTTTAACAGAGAGGAATAGAAGGGGAGAACCGGAGAATAGTCGTGTTCGAAACTGCTGTCGTTCCAAGGTCGTTAGGTGGAAAGAGGAAGGGTTCTTCTGTCGCTTGTACGACCGAAACTTGCCAAATGAGAGTCGCGTCGTGTGCGAGAAGTTTTTTTAGGACACCGGCAGATGAATGTCACGAATCAATTTTATGTAGTGCAGCAGTTTTCTTTTTTTTTTGTTGGTTTTTTTTTCTCTTGATGGGATTACAGGGTCAACACATAATTTTATGTGCATCTGGTAACAGCTCCGAGTCCTTGGTACTTATTCTTTTCAGGAGTATTTTTTCTCTTGCAGCTGTTTTCTTTACAGGCTTTTACAGGCTTTACAGCTCTTCGTCCTTGTGCCTTGTTACGTTTACAGGTTTACGCGAACGAACTTACATGTCCGAGTATCAGTAATGTGTCATTAAATACAAAGACAAAGTGCAAAAGAAAAAAGTAAGAAAGATAAAAGTCGGTAAATGTGAACGTTAAACGCCGGAAAAAGTTGCCGTGTTGGATTCACGATACGGTCAATGAGAAAGAAAATGAAAAAAGAAAAAAAGAAAGAACGAACGAACAAACAAACAAATACAACCATTTGGTTATTATATAGTAACTGTGGACTGATACCAGTGCCCTTTCTCCCCATTTCTTAGCTTAGGGTTGCGCCGATCAAAAGCATTTGCTTACCACTACCACTACTTCTACCACTACTTCTACCACTACTACTACTACTACTACTACTACTACTACTGAACATGACAAAATACCACACTGCCTGGAGAGAGGCTAGCCCAGTCCCTCGAGGCAAGTACTTATATCATTTTCATCCCTTCCTATTGGGCTTATGCGACATTTGCAGCCCCCTTTCTGAAGATCTCAAGGCCCTTCGATGTGAATGGTGCGTTTTCTAATCAGACAGACCTCGACATCGATAATAGCGTGTTGCTTAGAGAAAAACGAACAGACCGCTTCGATGCTCTCCCGAACGATGAACGATTTTTCAACAAGTAATAATTACCTGTCTCGTTGAACTGTACCTGTAGGGTCCGATCGGTATCGATCTCGTCTCAATGAACGAACGTATAAATGTTCTCGCAATCGTAATGTAAAAGGCCGCAAGATTTTGCGTAATACTTGGCAGTTTCGGCTACCGGGGGTGAACAAATTTCGATTAAATGCAACATGCTGTTATCTCTGCTTCAGAGTTTTCAGTACTCCTTGGGAATGAAGAGACACGTAAGTAGTAAAATTTAAGGTCTCTATGTTCACGTTTGAACGGGAGAACTCAAATAAATGCGAGCGGGGAATGACACGTGTGTAGGATAGAAGAAGAGCAAGCGATTTCGATCGAGAACGTTGTACAGAAATCTGTGTTCCAGACTGGACTAAAAACTTTCGTATGTAAAAAAGACGGTAAAACGAAGGTGTTAGACGGAAACATGAATAGGCGAGACACAGTTCGTCTATGCATTCATAGTGACGTATTATTCTTAGACTATGCAACTGATTTTTCACTCAGAGTCCGTAAACTTCTTTTTGAAATCGATCCGATTCGGATCGTGTACCAGTCTCGTTCTTATATATTGCGTCGTAAGAATCTGAATTCGAATGCACACGATGTTTGTTCTTTGAACACGATTTAAGTTGAAAAAACGTCTATCAACATTGTCACGATACCATTTGCAATCAGTAGAACTTGAAAGTTGCGTAGTCTCTTCTGAAACGAGTCGTGTTATTGCTACGCGACTAAGTCTGTAATGCTATTTTTACGATACAGGTGAAGGAGTTACTGATGAGTTTCGGGCAGTTACGAGCATTCAATCTGGTGAAGGATTCGGCCACAGGCCTGTCGAAGGGTTACGCGTTCTGCGAATACGTTGACGTGTCGATGACTGATCAAGCGATAGCCGGATTGAACGGAATGCAGCTGGGCGATAAGAAACTAATCGTGCAACGAGCCAGCGTGGGTGCTAAGAATCCTATGATCGGGGCACAGGCGCCTGTCCAGATTCAGGTGCCCGGATTATCGATGGTCGGAACGAGCGGACCAGCTACTGAGGTAAAAAAAAAAGAAAAAAAAAGAAAAAAACGCGGACGCTGAATCGCACGTTCATTCTTCTTACGGATGTAGTCGTCGTCGTTGTCCCGTTTAAAAATGTTTGTATCGCGCGCGAACAGGTGCTCTGCTTGTTGAACATGGTAACGCCCGAAGAGCTGATGGAAGAAGAGGAGTACGAGGATATCTTGGAGGATATCAAGGAAGAATGTAACAAATACGGTGTGGTACGATCCGTGGAAATACCGAGACCCATAGAAGGCGTCGACGTGCCTGGTTGTGGAAAGGTAAGGGCGCATCCCCCCCTATGATGAACCGTCGATCGGGTATTTTTCACTACCGACGAACACGAAGGTCGATCGATTCGAATCGGTTTGTGTTTTAGGTATTCGTCGAATTCAATAGCGTCATCGACTGTCAAAAAGCGCAGCAGACTCTCACGGGAAGAAAGTTCAACAACCGCGTCGTTGTCACGTCATACTTCGATCCCGATAAGTATCACCGCAGGGAATTCTAGACTCTGAATGATAGATTTTCTTTTTTTCATACTACATAATTAATAATTGACTCCAACTCCAGTGTATAACACACGCACACACGCTCACACACGCACGCGCGCGCGCGCGTACACACACACACACACACACACACACTGAAAAAGTAATCTGACGTTAATCAATTTTATCCAAATGTGTACAAAACGATATGTAATTGATCTTCGATCATAATGTGCATTAAACGAATAACTGTTGTAATTTACGATATACCGATCGAACGACTAACGATAATTTATAATTCGTCGAAAAACGGAAATAAGGATGCGAACAGCACGATATTTCGGTGACCGATTAGCAAGTTAGAATATGTAAAAAATAAACATATTGTCACTGTGTTCGTATCAAATTTGTTTTAATACAGTGGCGCGTCGTCGAACAAACGATTAAATCGGAAATAACTAATTTGATATTTAACGAATTTTTGCGTTTAACATTAAATTCATCGAGATTAGATACAAGGCGATATACGACTGTCCTCCATTAAAAGGGAGAAGGTGTACACGTTCATGGTTCGTTTTGCATCGCTGGTTGATACACGTGAGATTCGCCACGATCGGCGTTGTCGATCACGAATTTTTGTAACGCCACGTACAGTCCACCGCCAGCAAGCAACATGCTGATACCTACGATGAGGACTATGGACCACGCTGGTATCGCGGTACCCCCTGAAAAATTTACGCGTGCTCGATCACATTTTATGCGTATGTTCATTATTTTATTTTCTACTCACAGTAATAATGCCGTGTGATTGTTTTTCGCCCTTTCAGGATTTTTCGTCTCGCTTCAGCCCCTTCCGTCAGCATTCCCACGATCACTGCGTTGTAAGAATTTGTACGTCAGTTATTGAATCATCACGCACGCTTCATCGATCTCGTTTCAAAGCAAAAGCTTATCTTTTCGATATTTACGCTTTGTTACGTTTATAATCAATTTCTCTACTTACGCAGCCCGATAGCAAAATAGCAGAACATTCTTTTGGAACACATTGTTGTCTCGAAATACACCGCGCGCGGGGAAGATGGAATAAGAAAATACTTTTTAGGCGTAACTGAGCGAATAACGCTGCGACCGCTCGCGTTAAAGTATCTCTACGCGATACGAAGGTGAACTCATTATGAATCATGGGCTGATAACGGGTATCTATAACAGGTAGAAATTTCATATTATCTTATTTTAGTTGAGATAAAAGTATCCACGGTGCGAAGGCACGTCGGGCTTGCTCACACAGTCGATCTAACTGCTTCTGTCCTTCTGTCCGTTTCGCTGAACAACAAATATCGAATCAACATTAAATTTCACATTTTATTGCTTTGATATGTGCATATAAAAGTAGTTAAAACAGGCAAATATAAATTACATATGACCGTCCAAACAAGTTCGGACACCTACAGTTTAGCTAAAATAAAATTTTTATCAGCGTAACAACATATGTGTATACGTATGTACAAGTTTGTATAAAACGTTTCGCTCGAGCCATTACACGCTGCCGTTCGATTTTGCCGAGAGTCATTCACAAGATACGGACGGAGAGGCCCAGCAGAATCGTGCCGATCAGATCGGATGGACACGGTCGGACAGGATATGACGACGACGGGATATGACGGGAGCCGATTGGCAGCCTGACGGGTGAGTACGGGGGCGGAATCTAGTCGACGGAAAAGATTTTGTCGTCAGTTCAATACTCTTTGATCGAATGCTAATTTTTTATTAAATAGAAATTAAAGAAATCAAGTTACAAGTAACGACTTCTTACATGATCGTTGTAACATTATATCGGTCGATACCAACGCGAAAAAATTTCACCGAGTATCATTCTCCTGAGGCGCGAACGAAATCACTACACATAATTACTACAAATATGTATATGTACACTAACTCAACGTTTACTTCGACCGAACGCAACGAGTTCGACTGAAATTCGTTTGTATCAATTTTGCTCACGAAATGCATATGTTAAGGATGTATTGGCTATACAGTCAATCCCAAAACTTTATGCACTTTAGAAACGCATTTTTTAAAAAGAAATCAGACGTCGGAAGAACATTGCTANGGATATTTCCACTGTAGCTATTTATTATTAGCATTATTCTTCCGACGTTTGATTTCTTTTTAATTATAGGAAATGCGTTTTTCTAAGGTACATAAACTTTTGGGATTGACTGTATAACCAATACATCCTTAATGCCTTTGAAGGACCGTGGAAACCGATCAATTGAACCGTGTAACAACGTGTAATTAAATCTTGTTGGTATCGACGTTGCGTTCTGACCGACTCGAACACTTAAATACATACGTGTATTGCATCTGTTCTTTTTACCGTACGTAACGCTAAATTAATCGAAGACAAAATTAAGACTCCATACAAATTTTCGATACGCAATTACCGTCGTAACGTAAGTTAATTATTAATAGCTGGCACACACTCGTACGCAAGGCATTCGAAAAACGTATAACGTTGTACAACGATAAGCTTCACCCTGCCTTTGAAGGCACGCCATTCGCATATTCGCGTATTCGTCATCTCTACTACTTTCTCCTTCTTCTACTCTCATACTTCTTTCCGTCATATTTTTCTATTCATTACACCCGTTCTTCCCTCCGTTCGTTTCCCGCCGGAAACCGTGGTTCCCTCGATACGAACGATTCTCCATCTCGTCTCGTTTCTTTTACTTGTTGTATACTCGTATATTCAGCACCATGTGATTTCGAAGAAACTTTCGCGCAAGTATACCTTTTGTTCCTTCATACCCGTACAGAGAGAGAGTACACGAAAAATTGCTATTTTACACGGCAATGCTCGTCGAAGAGTATCGAGTCTGTGAATTGACCCCGGAGGAAATACTCGTTACCGCGGTGCCGATTGAACGCACCAATTCCATGCTGATCGTAAGATAGATGCTCGACGGACGTTTAGTCGACGGAAAAACGAAAACAGTGCGACGTTAATTAGAAGAGCGAAACGCGTGTATCGATTTGTCAAATTTATTAGAACTATGACTATGACATTTCGCGCGCGATCGTGGAACACGCGTTTGTGCATCGTTAATGTTTCAAGTCGCGTGTGTACCTGTATGTATGTATGTACATAATCAGTTATCAGTAACTGTGTAGACACGTCGTACTTTTTCGTATTCGATCGATTAACAGTAGAACGAGCTACGAAGATCTCGATTTTCTCAAGACGACGACGACGACGACGACGACGACGACGACGACGACGACGACAACGACGACGACGGAATACATCTTGGTAGTTTCAGAATAAGAAATCTCAAGTCTTTTTACAGCGTCGATCGTTCTAGTGCTAACGCGTGCCTATAAACATAATAACAGTAACGAAGAAGAGAGTGCAATGTACAAGTTGAAGAATCCACGAATAAGTTTCAACGAAAACGATTTTATACAGGGACGTGACGATGGGGCAGTGAAGATGCATTTTTGGATTTTCCAAACGAACAGAATAGAATGTAACGACACGAATAAAAATAAGAGAATTATGCGGAGCGGAGGAAAAGACTTTTGTTCTCCAATATTATACTTGGTTGCGGGCAAACTGACTGGCATCACTTTCAAAATGCACATTCGCATAAATCTCGTTTCGCGCCTCTGTCATACTTCTCATGCTTCCCGCGTTCGCATACATTTTTAAATGTACTACTACGATAGTACGATGTTCCCTCGTGGCAAACACGAGTCATTACTTTAATTACATCGAAGAGATAGAAATTAAATAAGAAATTAAATATAAATAATACTGTTAAACTTTTCTTACGCGTCGTATATGTATTACTACGAGTACTTTCGGTGACCATAAGTAAGTACTTGTCGCGCAGTCGATCGAACTGATCGCGCGGCATGGCGAAAGAGATGACCCGAGTGAGCGGGAGATTCGCGAAGGCAATTTTTCTTTTCCTAAAAACGTACCGTCAAACGAATTATTACCGGTAAAAGGGAACGCTATTTTTCTCTGCTTTTTTTTCTTCTTTCTTCTTTTACTTCTTAGCAATGATGAATACCGCGTTTTGTAATTTACTATCAATTTACAAACTACGTTAGAGAAATGTTCTAACAACATTGGACACGAATCATTTCTGCTCATCTAAATACGAATCATTTGCGCCTAATCTACGACCTATTTGCAATCAAAAAATTACCCCGTAATTTCGCTCGAAATACTGTATTTAGTGGATGGCCTTGATGATCTTCGAAGGGTAGTCCGAAGGATACGATGAAGTAGTTGTTACTCCTTTCTCTCGTACAAGTCGGTAGAGGTGACGTTGTCACTCGAAGTTTATTCATTGAAATGCATTTAGAATTAATAGTTATTATCGTCTCTTAAAAGCTATCGCGAACGCATACTCGCGTTTGCTCGACCTACTACTCTTACTGTGGTTACACCTTCCTCCTTTTAATTTCATCTATTTCACTTTCTTTTTATACGATGTTACGCTTTCGTCGCCTATCCGAAATTACTTTCACTCTCTTTATTTTCATCTGCTTTAGTGTTCAGTCAAGTTCTCATTGTGTGTGTGTGTGTGTGTTTTTAACTAAATGCGTGTGTGATATCTCGTGTATATACTTTTTATTCCTTAATTCGCCGAATATCGAATTTTATATCTGTTACCGTTACAACATTATATATGATATATAACAGGTGATACGCGTCATTATATATTCTATATAACATCCTGAACCAGACCGTGAAATATATCCCGGAAGCATCGTGAAATTTTTTACAAGAACAAGATCTTATTTGCCAGTACATACGTGCCTATGCGATCGTACTCTCGTTATTACCTTACTATCGTGATTACTCTACCGTAACAAATAATATTTCTAGCTGCGGAGCAATGACAGCGGCATTTCTCAGTTGAAACTTCATCGCTTGTTAGTAGTGGTGTTCATGTTATAATAAATAGATACCGCGAATATCATTGAACGTATAACATTTAATACGCGCGCGCGCGTGTGTGTATGTAGTAGATAGAGGTGTGCGAGAACCCGAAGACGGGTTGGGGGGATCGGAGCGAGAAACCTCGAGAACGTCGAGACTCTCGCCTGACCCTCGATATTCTCGCGAACCCCTGATAATAAATTAACCGAATATTTCTTTACCGAATAATCGTGTACTTTTTACGCGCTGAATTTTTAGGTTTAAACTTAGGTTTACCTTGTGGCTAACTGATGGTGTGATCCGACGTGGGTTTCTTCGTTTCGCTCGCCGGCGCGGAGGTGATACTCGTAGACGACGATGACGACGACGACGGCGACGACGAGACGCGGTCGTTGGACAGCCTGCTGTCCACCGTTAACTTGCAGCTTTCTTCGCTGCTCTTTCTTTTACTTTCGATCGTATTGCTATCGTTACTTTTACTCGTTTCGTGACTCGTACTTGTCTCTTCTTTCACAGTCTCGCAATCCCGAGTTTCCTTGTCCCTTTCTATGATTCCTTCGCGAATCAATACGTCTTTGAACGTAGCTAAAGTTTTGCGTAGCGTTATGCAGAAACCTCTGGACGCTGGTATCAACGGGAATTCCGGTAAAATTTTCTCTTCTAAATGTAAAAAAAGAAAGAAAACACGTTTAAAATTAGATTAGGAATGCGCGTATCACATGTCACGCGTTGCGAATGATAAAATCGTAACTTACCGATGTCGGATATTTGTTTGAACGTAGTAGGCGTCACCGGCGACAACGGATGTTGATTATTATGATGTTCAGAGATTTCCATCCACAGTTCCAAACGTTGCAGTAATTTGTTCGCGTGCCTTTTGAAATGCTCGATAATTATATCTCTAAAGACGGGCGGCGGGTGCTGCAACAACTTGGTCTGTGCTTGCACCAGTTTCAGTACGACCATCTCGTTGTACATCCTCGAATTTTCTTTTCCCTGTTGAGAGCCCTTCTGCTTCTCGAAACCGGCCTCGTTGAAGTACGGTTCGGGCACGAGGATCAGGCCCTGGATCGACACTATTACTTGCAGCAGGGTCGAGGAACTCGTCCATACTTCCGTTCCACGGCCGGACCACGTACCCAACAGACTTACGCACACCTTACCGTCTTCGTACAGATTCGGATTCAGCTTATCGTTGCAGTAAGAAATGTAATGGCATAGCGGCGGGGCAGCTGGGTAATCGGCAGACAATTGAAAATCGAAAAGAAACAGACCGTCTTCGTACGGCGTCTTCTCGGGTCCGCGGAACATGACGGAATACAGATCTATCCTGTCCTCGAATCCTTTCACCCATATACCGGGTGGAAGTGAATTCTTCAGGAGTTTCAACTCCTTGGAAACAGTCCTGAAAAAGTTGGTCGGGTCCGTCGGCTGGAACATCGTTAATTTGAACTTGTGACTGTCCGGCGCTGTCTCTTCTATAGAAAAGCCTTCTCCTTCCGGGTAAACCGGCGGTGGAACGTCCATCGAACAGTCCGATGGTTCTTGCAACAATTCTATGCGCTTCCCCACTTCCTCCTCCATCTCCTCCTCTTCCTCCTCTACCTCTGTCTTCTTTTGTTTCTTCAACGGCGACGAACCACCCTTCTCGGCGTCGGACAACGACATCTTTGACAATCCGAACCGCCTGGAGACTTCCGCGTGAGCCAACACGAGCTGAGCTTTCACCAGGGTACACAATTTGACGCATACTTGAGAACTGGCCACATGAGAACTCGTTATGTGGATCTGCGACCTGGATCCCTTGTTCGCCTCCGTCTTCTCGACCGAACGATCCGGTGGCACTTTGTTCGCGTCTTCGCTGAGTAGAAATTCCCCGCTCGACTCGCTGGATCCAGATTCTTTCTTCGAATTCTCTGCGGAATACAATCCGGAATCCTCAGGATTCGGATTGACGTTGATGAACAAACGATCGATTGATTCTTCACCTTTCGCGTTCCGCTTGTCCGCGTCTTCGTCGTCCTTGTTATCATCATCGATCGACGATCCAGTCATGTCAGTCACCGTGATCATCTTCTCGCAATTAATTCCAGGCTGCACGCTGCCTGAATTTACCACGTTCCCCTCCGAGCCATCGGACTTGTGCGTGAACAGTCTGTTCACTTGGTCCGCCATACGTTGCGCCACGTTCGCTCTGCCGCGTTCCCGGACCCTCTCCAACAGTCCTTGGAAATGGGACTCGTGGAAGAAAGAGGTGCCCATGAGCTTGTCCATGTACCGGCAATCCTTGTAGACTTCTAACAATTTCCTCATGACCTCGGTCGTCTGAAGTGACGGGTTCTGCGTGAATATCTCTTCCAACCTGGACATCGCTATGCGAGCCTTCTCAATGTGCGCGGCCAATTTCGGTTTCAAATTTTCCAGTTCCGCTGGTTCCGTGACGTCGTTATCGGCGATGAAGCAGTCCTCCAGTTCGGTTTCCCATGACGCGTCGGACGACACATCGTCCCACAATTCTCCCTCTTCGCTATCGTATTCACCTACTTTATAAAGATCTTGAGGCCAACACATACTTACGTGTCCGTCGACCCACCACACTTTGACTCGACCTTCCGGATAATTATCTAGCACTTGACCAGCGGTACATCCGGCATCTTCGCCCTCGAAGTTAGCTATTCGGATTACCAGTGTACCCGGTCTGTACTGAAAGTCGGGGTGATCCTTCAGATCATACACGCTAACCTCGCGTTCTTCCAGTAAAGTCGGTCTTAAACAAATCGATTTATTTTTCCGAGTTAACTACCTTCCGTCAATTCCGTGCTCAGACACGAAAACTTGAAGCTACCTCTGTAGAGATTACTTACTGCGGACTTTGACTAGAAGTGTACGTTTTGAACCACTTGATTTTAGCCGTTCTACCTTGATGATCGACGCTTTGAACCACACCGTACATCCTGGATTCTTCTTTCTGATCGACTACAAAATCCCCGGGGAAGAATTCTTTATCGTCCAAGTGATGAATCGGATAAAGTTGCGTAGATGGAATACCTGAAAAGGATCGACCTCAGATCACACAAGTTTCGTACCGGCGAGGCTGTGAGTAGTCGAAAGTGCGAATTTGAAATTTACCAAATTCTACCGAACCGTCCTGCCATACAACGTTGGCTCTCGTACTCGTGGACAAAGTTTCCACGACAATTTTAGTTCCCGGAACAAGCGGAACCGGCGGCACCTTCTTTTTTGCTTTGCACAGCCTCTTCTTTTTTAATATCTTGGTCATCAACGCCGGACCCTTCTTTTTCTTACCCATAGACGACATACTGGAACATCCGCTGGATATCTACGAACGTCGAAACGTAACGTATCGTTCTTTCATTCGCTATCATACGAGAGCAATCAAATCGATCTTACCGAAGCAGTGTCACTTTGCGATCCCGTGTCCTCTGTATCCCAGTCATCCGAACTTTCAGTATTCTGATTTTGTACCGGGGGCATTAACGTATTGTTACTCGTCACACTTTGCGTATTGCTAATATTGATTTGAGCACTGTCGTCCACGTTTTGTTGTTGTTGTTCGTTGACTCTCTCCTTTTTCCTATCTTCAGCCGGCTTCGTAACGCTGATATTTGGACGCATCTTCTTTGGACTCTGCTTAGGAACTTGAAAAACATCTCTTTGCTGTTTTCTCCATTGCTCTCGCGTGGTAACGTTCTCGTCGCCTTTGATCACATAAAAGTTTCGATCCCCCACTTGCACGGTAGACGGTTCGAAAACGTTCAACAGTTTCAATCTCTTTAGATTCTCCCCTTGGACCATGAACCTCGGTTGATCTTCGTCCGACCACGCACCGTCCTTCGAATAAGCTCTACATTGCCAATGCACTCCTATCCAGTCCATCTCAACCTTTTCTACTATCACTTTCGTCAACTTCTGCGGCTTCGATTTCCTCTTCGCTTTCATCTCTTTTGTACACGTGATCCACTGAGCATCCTCCAGGCATTGAACCGGTCCCCACAAACTTTGACCAGGATAGAATTCGGAAGAGCGAGGAAAGTCGTTGTCGTTGTCGCGCCTCTCCTCCAACTGTCCGGAATCTGTGTCCTTTATAACGCAGCGAGATCCGTCGGGCGTGGTGAGCCACAGTTTAAAATTCACTATCTTTATGCCACCGACCCACGAATCCATGCAAACAGCTATGTCCGTCGCAAATTCCTACATGGATGGAAACTATTAATCGTAACGTATGAGCTATTTCGTCGATGACGACAACTAGAAATCGTCGGTTACATACTTCCAAAGGAACTAAATCTTCGCTCCTGACATTCGTGAGGACCTGTTTGGTGCCGATCACCTGAACGCAAGCGGTAAGCTCGATGTCTCGACAGTATCCCCTCTGCGTATCCTTTCCCTTGATCATCCTACGTACGACGTCTCCTGGCATCAGCGTCCTGTCCGCCAAATGTACCTGCGTACCCGGAATCGTGTGAGATGGTAGGTAAAAGAACATGGACAAAACTTGTCGCGAACGTCGCGTACGATCACGTTTCCAACGTCACGCGACGATTCAAATTTAAACATGTTACATTACGGTTGATGATAGCGTTCGCGTGACAGGTGTCGCTTTCCGTTCTTTCAGAAATAAGGGAAATTGAAAACAAATAGGTACGTACGTCGAAAGTCGAAATGTATGAACAGATAAACCACTGTGTGCGGCGTGTGCCGCGGTTCGCTTTTAGGAAGACGACTTTTCCTAGTGTTTAGCAACACTCGTCTCTGTGACGATATTAAACGTGTTCGCATACCTTCTTCGAGTTGACCAACTGCTCGACACCGGAGGGATGCCAGACCACGCGAATCTCGCCCTTTCTCCTCTTCGGGCTCTCCTCGCTGTCGGAGCTGTCCTCGGACAGGTCCTGATCATCGTTCACCATAACGATCCCGAACACGACGTTACCCTTCTTGTCTACGCGGTAGACGACATCCTCGTAAAAATACTGACACTCTCCCCCGAAGTTCGTAGCCATCTTTCCGATCTGATCGCTGAGTGATAGAGCGAGTGCTCGCTCTCTGACGACCACACTGCCGCTGCCGACGACGGCTGACGAACGGTTACGTTACACGCGGCGCAGCGGTTACGGCGCACGTCGCAAGCAGGGAACTTGACTCCGACCACTCCGACCCGAACGACACCCGACCCGACCGACCCCAACCCTGACTTGCCCCGACTTGCCCTGGACTATCTGGACCTAGACTACTCAAGAATCACCGATTCGATGGATGCCTTTTCATTGTTCTCGCCGATCGAGTTGTTATCGACTGCTAGTTCCGAATCGAGAATTGCCTATTGCCTTCGATCAAATTCAAAAGTCGGCCGAAAATAACGGTGGTGCGTTGAGACGGAACCTTCTTGATTCATTATTATTGATAATACTAAACTGCTCCTCGAACTATACGTATATAGATCGGATGGATATGTTAGATACGTATCGTCTACGGTGATAGTACGTGAACGCGTGCCAATACGCATCCAAGTATGCATTGCACAAAATGTATGTAGAACGTGATGTAAACATAATTGACAATTGATTTCGAGTTTCCACTTACTTAAAATAAGGTGGAAGGACAGAAATAAGAGCGTTCCGTTTACTTGGAAAGTAATCATTTATTTTCTTCAAATGCATTTGAAACAATTGATAAGGGAGGGAATTATACATAAATCGGCGGAATGACTAGATATGTGAACAGGGGATAGGAATGTTCTAGGAACAGGCGGTTTAACGTGTTCAACTTTGTTATTATTTTATAAAACAAGATGGTTTCAAACCGCAAAATGAGTTCGTTGAAATCCTTGACCCAAACTTTGTAATATTGTTTGCACTTCGCTCTCGTTCTGATGATGAAACACGTACGCATCGAATTTGGTCGCCTGATTGCAGTTGGTGTCGCTGGAAATTGTATTAGAAATTGCAGCTCATACGAAACGATCGGTCATTGTTCACATCGAGATAACATAAATTTGATTACCCTGCGATGAACGCGAAATGATGAGGAATATTCCCTGTACGACCGCAAGACGAGATTTCCATATAGCTTTGCTTACATACGATCTGCGCGAACGTTAAACGAAACATGTTAACGCGTACCATAATATTTATCTCCGATTGAGTATACATTCACGTTTACATACGGTGTCGTCCAAGTCACGAGTCACTCTGATCCCTATTTCCAAGCATTCGAATTTCACGGGTATCGATTTGAATTCTTCCGACCTCAACACCTCCAGAATCGCTCTTTCGATCTGCTTCACGTCTCCCTCGGTACCGATGTACACGCGACCGCAATACTTCACCGAGAATCCAGCGTTCAACGACTTATTCCCTGATCCAGGTCTTGCTTCGGCCTCCTCGTTCTTCGTGCCCTGTATCTCGGAACTGAATCTTCTCAAGATCTTCTTTAAACCGTCGATACCCGAGTTTCTTATAAGATGTACGATCGGCATGTACAATTCACGCGTCTCTTTATTACGATGCTACAAATCGGCGATATGAGTAGCGTGACATCACTTGGTCGGATTACGTTTAGAACGCGTACCTTAATCACGTGCAGATATACCGGTTGACCTACAGCTTTTTTCATAAATTTACGCAACTGCCCTTTGGTATTAGACGTTATAGCGTTTCCGTTTATTTCGTCCAACACGTCTCCAATTTCAACTATGTCCTGAATCAGAGACGAAAATGTAAAAATTAAAATGGACACGAACATGTGACCACCAAACAAAAACGAAATGATCGTTTCTTACGTCCTCCGCAGCTACAGAATTTTTATCTAAGTTAACTATCAAAGCTCTCCCTTTTGTGAAACTGTAACAGCACGAGATACTACATCAGTCCCGATGAAGAAGTTATTTTTGGTAATCGAACTTCTTACCATACGGAGATACCCAAGCTTTTGCATGGCACTAATTCTAACGCCAGGCAATCTGCTAATTGCCAAGATTCATCCAGAAAAGTTGAATTTCGTAAATTTAGTTTAAAATTGAATTTACTGCTTTGCAATAACACCGACAAAAATATTTCTCCAAGGATATTATCGCCCAGAATACTGTTCTTATCGTAGTAGCCTGTAGCCATCAACGGTGTCCTGACCTGCGTCAATTTCGATTAGTCAACACCTTTTTCCCTTATACACGAAGTGAACCTTCCATAGGAATAGTCGAGCTAGACCATCGAATCATCGAGAACTTATCCGTACCAACATTTCAACGGGCATATGAAGGCACTTTCTCGTTAAACACGTTCTGATCAAAAGTCTGAGACGTCCAGTAGGTGTATGTACTTTTGGATTTTGTCTAACTTGCTCTACCACCAGGGAATAAGTGCAACAGGAACTAAAACGAGATTACAAAATGTTTGTATAACGTTAAGCGAGATGGCTCGCAGTGGATTTCATCTAATGCACAGCTGTGAACCTGAAGTGTTTCTCTCCGATCTCTTCCATCCAGTACCAAGCATCAGGTAATTTTGGGAAACCAATGGGATTTAAACGCATCAGTATGCCTTTCTGCAAGCATTTTTCTAAACTTTTACAGAAGAAAGGTAGCTCTTTATTTTCATCGTCGATGTCTTTACCGCTTTCGGTCAATTTTCGTGTCCACCCTGAAAGTAAGTTGATCTTCGAATTTACGACGCTCCTACTACGACGCGCTACCTAATACATTTTAAAGACATCACGTTCTAACCTAAAGCGCAGTATCACTTTTCTGATTACCTTTCAATTCTTTAATGAGTGGGTTTGAGACCGTCATGGCATTATCAGTTGCGATTATTGTCGTCGACTACCAATTACTTCGTCATACAAAGTAGGTGCATATTAACTAGCGATTATTAACGAGGGGAACAGAACAGGTGTCATTTTCGACTGACTTAAAGTCATGCATATATAGGTATAATCATCAAGCGATGTATATACGTATGTAAGTAGATAATTTAAAGAGCACGAGAGCATGTTATTGTTCAAACGTCACTTTCAGTTGTTCGTCGGATCTTAATCGTATGTATTAGATATTTCAGGTATTTGGAAGTGTTGCCTACGTTTACGTGCACGCGCGGATATGCATTATTGTCAAAGATGAACGCGTGGCGTGTGCTCACACCAGCTCACACCAGCTCACACCAGCTCACACCAACTCACACCATCATCGACCGATGGACCTGAAGCACAGTTATGTGTGTGTGTATTGTGCCAGTGCAAGTTTCAAGTGCGTATACATACATATATGTATACATATACACATCGAAACAGTTTAACTGATAAGGATGATTAATTTTTATTCTTAGAGCACATAGAGCATTCGTATCTTGGCTGTCATGCGGATTGAAGTAAATCTAAATCAATTTTGTTGCCTCTTGCATTTTTAATTTAAAAAATCAGATCGATTAATCGCAGCTGAACAGCGATCGACTAATAGCGGTGAAAACAAAAATTGAATCCGGCTACGGAACACTGAGCAAACCTATAAAAATGGCAACGATCGTACCTGATGTGAACGAAGTGAAATTGAAGGCTTTGGAAGCTTTCACATCGAAATTTAAAGAGCACGCGAACATTTGTGTCTGCGCACCGGGCCGTGTGAATTTAATCGGTGAGCACACTGATTACAACGAGGGTTTCGTCATGCCAATGGTAATAAGATGTAAATGTCTTTTGTCCGTTCAACGCCAATATCAGATTTTTGTCAGATTTTGACCGATTCGACCGAAGAATATTGTCGTTCATTGATACATCGAGAAGTCTAATTGACAAAGAACGCGTAGACGTTTGAAATCCGATACTTACGGCTGATCGAAAGAACGATATACAATTACTAGATTTCATTTCTTCGCGCTCGCATTTAAATTGAAAATACGTGTTCTAGAAGCATCTTCTCTAGCATCGTACTATTTAATTTCTTGTTAACGGTCAACGAAAAATATGTTCAATCTGATCATTATCATACACGTCGTTATCGTAGATAACTTATCCGACGATATCGATGTTACATTAAATGTATTAAATTTTCAGGCTCTGCCGATGGTCACGGTGGTGGTCGGAAAGCTTGGAAGCGATAACAAATATAAGATTTTTTCACTTGATAAATCGATCGGACAGTCAAATTATTATGAATTCGAAGCTACCTCACGTAAAAATATAAAACCAGGGGAACCGAAATGGGTTAACTACGTGAAAGGATGTATAGCACATTTTGCTTGTGAGTCGAACCTGTTCCTTTTTCACAGATACGAATAAGACAGAACGATCAACTAATCACGTAAAATATTAGGCGACGTGCCGCCTTTCAAGATCGTTATTGCGTCGACCGTGCCTGTCGGCGCCGGTCTGAGTAGTTCAGCCGCTCTGGAAGTAGCTACTTACACGTTCTTGGAAGCATTGACCGGCGTCAAGCCGAGCAGGGTGGAGGATAAGGTACTACGATCAGATGGTCATCGTACCGTACAATACAGTTCGTAAGATGTAATTTTCAGATCTTGGCATGCCAGCGTGTCGAGCACGAATTTGCTGGAGTCCCGTGCGGCATCATGGACCAGTTCGTATCGGTGATGGCCAAGGAAGGTTACGCTCTTCTTCTCGATTGTAGAGATCTTACCACCAAGCAAATACCAATGTCGCAAATCAAAGACTACGCCTTTTTGATTACCAATTCGAACGCCCCTCATAAATTGAGTTCCAGCGCGTATCGCGAGCGCCGAGACTGCTGTTACGAAGCCGCGAAAAAATTGAACAAGAAGAGTCTGCGCGAAGCGACCATCGACGATATTCGAGGTAACGAAAGGTTCTGCTCGCGGCCAACTGCGACGCTCGATTCGTTTGGCTCGATTTTTAGTTTTGGAGGAACAGAAGGCGCCGGAGGAGATGATAAAGAGAGCCCGTCATGTGGTTACGGAGATCCAAAGAGCGCTCGACGCCGCGGCTGCTCTCGAAAAGGGAGACTTTAACGAGTTCGGACGGCTGATGAACGAAAGCCACGATTCGTTGAGGAACGACTACGAAGTCTCGTCCGCCGAGCTGGATGCTCTGGTCACAGCGGCGAGAGGAGTGGACGGCGTTCTAGGAAGTCGCCTGACCGGCGCTGGATTTGGAGGATGCACGGTGACGTTACTGAAAAAAGAAGCGATCGACGAAGCAGTGAAACGCATCAAGGCCAAGTCAGATCCCGTTATCTTTCTTAAATATCTTTCGTCGCTGTACAACGCTTTGACAATGAGCATTTACAAGATTTCTTACGCTGCAGGTATACTGGAAACGCAGTTTTCTATATAGCAAGTCCCGCGATGGGTTGCCGAGTCTTGGACGTCAATTAAGCCGCAACGGTCACGATGTGCAATTCTAACTTGACAGACTGGTTAAAAGTATCTCTTTTAATACTGACTTGTTTTTTTGGAGAAGAAACGACCGTTAAGCACACGAATTAACTCTTAAACACGTACAACACCGTGCGAGTCTAAAAGTTTATACAGAATATGTCATTGCCAGTTTATACAAATTCACATCGTTATACTATGTATATATACATTCCTTACGATACTACTTATACTTTAACAGACCCTTTCGGCACGATTGGCTCCATACGATTTTTACCATCGATTTCACGCGGTGCTGCCTGAACACCGTACAATTCTGTACGTGAGACATCGTACGATCGTCACTGTGCCCGTAGGGTCGATCATGTTACCTCGGGACGGCTATCGAAATAAACAGTTCTTTCACTGCGATATTACTTGCCTGATACACCTGATATCATTGCCCCCTGTTCGTGTCAGTGGAATACTGATAGATATATGAAATAAAACGACAGCGAGCGTTCTTCCCTCGCGGACGGCGTTTTCATGTCGAACGTCTGATCATCGTCAACACCTGTTCACAGTAGCCGTCGACACGTTTGACAACTCTGCGAACAAGTGAATGGTACGTGCATATCTGTCCATGCGACGGATCATACAAGATAATCACCTTTCAGGCAATCGTTCAGCTCGACTTCGTTCGAGCTACACCTCAAACCGGACGGTTTCACACCCTTGAAGATCTCGATGATGCTCGGCTTCAGATTATGAAAGATCAAAGGCTGTCCACGCCTCGTGAAGTCCTCCGTCAGACTCTTGATCCCCTTTGAACAATCAAAACGATAGATCGTGAGACCCAATCGCTGCCGTTCATATGTACCCGCGGTGCTTCGACGTACCTTCGCGGCCGTGAAGTCCGCGGCTTGTATATGCGTGGAATCTATCACAACGGGTACCGCGGTTCCCTGTTTCGTGCCTTGCTTGCTGATCACGGCGCGGACGTACTCGACCCCCGGGAAAACGAGACTCCTGTCGGGCGTTATCACGAGATATTCACAGCCGCTGACGCTCTGGGACGGGAAAAACAAATTTATTTGCTTGCATGTTCGAACAATGAATCGATACTCACCGTGGCCTTGTGCACTCGCAGCGACGGCCTCGCGGAAGCGTAAAGTAAGAACAGGACGTTTACACCGATACCGATCACTATGCCTAGTTCGAGTCTTACGAACAGGCAACACAGGAAGGTGGCTACCGCCGGTATGAGATCGATCTCTGAAAAGTGAAACGACGCGTTGATATTCTGTTCGAACGTCGAACGTCGAACCGTCGTATGTACGTTGCATGTACTTTTCGTTCGCCAAATCGGCTTGATCACGTGCAGTTCCACCATGAAGATGACCGCGGCGATGATGATGGCCGCGAGCGCAGCATTCGGGATGAAGTAGAGGTACGGGGTGAGGAACTGCAGCGAGACGAGCACGAGAACGCCAGTGTAGACACCGCCGAGAGTCGTTCTCACTCCGGACGAATGGTTGACGGCACCGCGGCTGAGGCCACCGCTGACCGGCATCGACGAGACGAACGCGGAAACGACGTTGCAGGCACCCAACGCCAACATCTCCTGAGTCGCGTCGATCGGCTTCCCTTCGTCTAAATTAGGAGAAGATCGATTCATTGTCATCAGAAGATTATAAATTCCTGGAGAAGTTTTTCGTCACAGTTGTTTCGTGACAACGACGACGACGAGTTTTACGCGCAAGCTTCGAACCGGTGGTGGGTCACTCACTGAATACTTTGGCGATGGAGATGGTCTCCAGGAGGCTCAACAGAGGAACGACCAAACATCCAGAGCCGAGGGCGGAGACCATGTCGATGAAATTGTACGTCTCGTTTTTGTGGACGGTCTGGAACGGTGGGAGCCGAAATTCCGGAAGCCCTTGTTTCACGTGGCCGGTCAATCGCACGGGCGCGGAACCTAAACGGCTCTCGAGAAGGTAGCACATTATCCCGGAAGCGAGGACCACGAGTATGTTACGCGCAGTGGACAACAGCCAAAGGGACTTTCGTAGAATCACTTGGGCCCTCGACGAAACCTTCTCGGCTCTCTGCATGAACGGAATATCCTTGATTTTCTGTAAAACACATCATTCCCAAGTTCGTGTGTCGAGCGTCGAAACACGTTCGAGAAATGTCGAAAATATCCGCGACGCGTCATGTTCGCACTCTCGCACAATGAATCGCACTTGTGCACGGTGCATAAACGCGGTTCCAGTGAAATTAGAAATACGTAACGGTGAACTTACTCTGAGAAGAAGAAGGACGACTATGCAAGCGATACCGAGGGCGGTGTCCCAGAGCTTCGTTTCGCCGATGTTTTCAAATATGTTGTGCCACACGTCGACGAACTTGCTACCATCGATACTGATACCTAGGATGTCTTTTATTTGGCTGGTGGCGATGATTATCGCCGCGGCCGACGTGAAACCGACCGAGACTGGTCCCGATATAAAGTCCAATAAAAAACCTGATACACGTAAACGTTTATAAACGAAAACATATACACCGGATGATCGGCTTGTAACGTACCTAAATGTAAGATTCCCATTAGTAAGCATGCGCATCCGGAGATTAAGGTGAGAAGGACCGCGAAGTCCGGACCTAGATCGGCTTTCTGTAACGTTTCCCTGGTGAGGATCGCGATAATCGCAGTCGGTCCCACTGGCACGTCCTTACACGATCCCAGTATGGTATACACGAAGCATGCCATGAACGAAGAATACAGGCCATACTGTAGAACGAGAAAAGTTATCTTGAAAGTGAATAACCGATAACGTTGTACTCAAAATTGATCTCCGAGATCTGGTTCTATCTGGACGTGTGTATGAGTCGAAAGGACCCCGTCGAAAGGTGAACGTACAGTGAGAATATTCTTACCTGCAATGGTAGCCCAGCGACGTTCGCGTAAGCAATCGCCTGCGGTATAACGGTAAGGCCTACGGTAATACCGGCAACGAGATCGCTCACTACGTAATCCTTGCGATACTTCGGCAGCCAATCTGTTATCGGTACTCGTTTGTACAGCATCTTCTTCTTGCAACACCTCTTTACTCGTTCGTAGAGCCATTTTCTTCCCAGGACGTACAACAGATCTCTCTCAGGATTTTGTGGAACTGAATTTCAAGAGAATCGCGCATAGTACAAAACCGTTCAGGTGGCAAGTCTGTGAGGTATGCTCGTGTCACGGTACACGTGCGGACGCTATACGGCGGAGTTTAACGCATGAAGCGTTAACGTAACGCGGTAATAATTAACGTACGCATGATATTCCGGATGGGGATGTAGATTCTCCAGAGCGCGTGACGATCTTTTCGGAACAGCGGCATTAGAAAGTATGCTGGGAACGGGCGTAGGGGGAGGAAGAAGAAAAAGGAAAAGTAGCAGAAAAATAATTGCAGTCACGAGACGTCCGAGTATACGCAAGCGGGTGCGCGTGTATCGAGATTATCGTAATGTATGCGACTATGCAAGCGGCGGATAGCGGTCAGATAAGCGATGGTCTAAAAGTGAAGTTAGATAAGTTCGACTGGTTTCACCCGTCGACGCGTGACGATCCTCGGAGGAAAGAATCGCACGATCGGGGTGGGACGTTTCTTCCTGCTAAACTTAAATACTGCCGTTCGTTTATAATTGACAGATCCATTGTTCGGCGCTTTCAATTTGTTTTATATCAACGTTTCCTTCCCACGTTTAGAGACAACGCTGAATCTTTCGATCGTCGAGACTTGGAGATCCGAGGACTTCGATCTTTGACGAGTCGTTATCGATGTTTCAGCGGTTAAACATTCGCGGCGCGTGACGGTCATCGATCGTACGAATCGAAAGTTTTCGCGTACAATGACGAATAGCCGAAGTTGATCAGAAATTACGGAGGCAACGATTACTTACACCACGGAGCTTTAAAAAAATACTGTTGCGTTTAACGACCGACCGTTACTCATTTTTCTAGTTTACATAACGGTACACGGTTCGCACGGAGAACCAAGTAAATCTGTTAAATGTATGTACGTCGCAAACTTGCCTTTTATAATATTCGAGCCTTGTTGCGAATTACCAAGTTCAATATTGATAACTCACAGTCGTGAACGTTACTTATAGTATGTATAATTAAGGTAACGTCCGGCAAATGAATCTAGCCGACGGAAGAAAGATCATGCACACGGCACGCGCTTTCTCTCTTCTCGCGTTCATCGTCGAGCCGATGTGAATAATTAATCGATATTAACAGAATTGATTTTACTGGTCGAAAATAATTCGCGTTGGTCTCGCGGCGTCGATTCATCGAGTAATCACTAGAGCATCGAAAGAAATGTGAAGAACACTTCTCGGTACCGGTGAGCGAAGGAAGGGAAGAAAGAAGAGATACGATCGTACCGTCATTGCGGATCGTCTTGCCGTCTCGCGATGAAACGTGAACGCTGTTCAGCCTGTTCTCCAGTTCGGATCCAGCCTGATCAGGATCGTTGTCGTTGCTCGGGTCTTCGAATGCAGCGTTTGTGTATCCGGTCAAACGGACCTGCTTCCCCGTCTCGACGTCGCAGTCTTGAACGTTGTACTTGGCCATGTTCGCAGCGGTCCAGGTTTCAGTTTCACGAGAGTCCACGAACAGCGTTCAGGCGGGATCCATTCTTCGGACTGGGTCGCGACCCTCGACAATCAAACTGTTCGATTACTTCAACGCCACGATTAACAATCGTAACATTTTTCTCTCGATTTCTCCTCGCTTTCCGATCGATTAAAGACTTTTACCAGGCGATTTCATAATAGGTTTCAGATTCAAGGATCTCTATTCCCTCACCTTTTTCCTTCGTTCCCTTATTTTTACTCTTTTTCATTTGATTTTCTTTCGACAGCGAAACGTACGTGGAAACGTGCAAGGGAGTTGGTCAAGAAAACGCTTCGTTGTAAAACGTTTCGTTTTTGCCGATCGAACATATACGTGTTAACTGCGGAACGTCACCGCGACCAATTTAAATTACTCTCACTATGAGACAATGGTTGTCTGCGCAATTGATAACGTGTACGAGAGCTGCCGCGGTTTCTCGAGTAGAGGCAAGGAAAGAGGAATAAAATACTGAATACTACGTTGCATAAAATTTCGCCGGCTGTGTTTCGTAACTCGTCTTGCGGAAATCGAGAATTTAATACTTCGTTGGTAACACTTTCGAACGTGTTGTACGCATGCGATTCGATTTTTATTTATAACGTGTAAGTGAGTCATCTTCGTCGCGAGTAACACACGAAACTGTTTAATTGTCATATAAATGATTCGGATGTAATGGAGTCGAGACTTTACATGGTTTCTGTTCGCTTATAGATATTATACCAAAGACCAGTGATATACATTGTATAATTATTCAGTGGTGAACAAGTCGAATCGAGTAGCGAGAGCTACGGCTGAAAAAGTGGCCCGCTCGTCGCAGGACCGATTACGCGACGAGCTACTTGAATCCGCTGATTCGTGTCTCCGTTAATGAAAAACGAATCAGAGTCAGCAGCATTAATTCGCGAACACACGATTTCTAACGACCAAACTTCAATCTCAATCGTTCCTATTTACGCGTCAGAAGAGGATAAGGAACCTCACCGATGCGTAGAGAAAGGGATGAGGGGGGGGGGGCGGTAGGGGGACGTCATTCATACGAAACGATTCGATGCTCGAAGAATTGTGTCAACATCGTAAACGGTAATTAAATACCGTTAACGTTGCTAATCGGTGGCCAGCTCGCGATCGAGGAGTTCCGTCCGATCGATCGATCGATCGCATTCAGCAGCAACGCACGTAGGGTAACGACGCAAACGGTCTAGCCAGCGAGCTGAGTAAATCAATGGTCGTTGAACGATGATTAGACGCGACCAGACATTTGAACATAATCAATCAGGAATATTTTGCTCGATTCGATTTCTCTTTACGAAACGATCGGAAAAAAGCGTTGATAACGTTCGTTAATACATTTTTAATGCGTTCGAATTAGATTACGGGTTGCGTATCTATAGAAAATGTCAACCACGCGTCGAATTCATTTCTACGTCTGGACGCGGCTTACTAAATATTTAAATAATTTAATTGGCTGACTCGAGAGAGAGAGAAGGTCATATCGCCGAGTTTGTCGAACGATGCGCGTTATCGAATCGAGTTTACTCATCGTTCAAAACTGGTTAGGAAACTGTTTGACCGTTTAGAAAGCCGATTCGGCATCGGTACGAGTAACGACGGAATGAATTATTTAACACTTTCACGAAATTATTATCGCTGTTACACCGGTTCGAAAAGGAATTTGTGTCGGCGACCCCCTGTTGCTTACCGCACGATCAAATTTTTCCATCCGACGGCCGGACTCGTAAGAGATTACATTTCTATCGGATCGAATCGTCGACGAGAGAACTGAGAAACGCGGAACATTCTGAACATCGAGTCGTCGTCGTTGACGAACCGCGAACACTCGACGAATCAGAATACTGGGAATCGCGAGAGACGCCCGCGTGTTGTCCGAGTCAACGGTTGAAGAGTGACGGTTTGTCGCGAACCGGGTGGAATTATTTTAAATATTCTAGATGCAAAACACTCGTTTACACCGACGGGTATTTCTATTAATATGTATCTCGCGATTTGCGACAATGAATATGTGTGGGGAAACGATCTCTGTTTGCTGAGGTCGAATAAATTCGATTTGGACCATCGAGTTTTTAATTATCTTTAGCCTCGAGTGACGGTCATCTCATCAATTTCTAATTGCACCTTCGTAACGAGACAAGGCGAAGGCCCCTCGCGTCGATTTTTTGCTGCTCTGGTCACGGGTCATTAGCTTCGCCTTCGTTGAACGACGGTATTTTTTATCAGCGTATTGTAATTTGCTGCAGAAACTTGAATTAAAATTCGAACGAACAATTCCGTGAAACGATCGGTGCACGTCGTCGTCGTCGTCGTCGATGCGTTCGACCCGGAAACGAAGAGATGATCGACGTTCTCTCTTTCTGTCGTCTCGCTCGATGTTGTCTCGCTCGGCCTAAATTCCGCGATTTACGCTAAATTCCTGAATGTCCCGCGCGCCCGCGTTGCCAACTCTCGACGTACAACGAAGAGCGCCTGGCCGCTCAGGCCTGTAGGCGATCCAATTAATTTTCGACGCGATCCGACCGTACATTTTTCACTCGCGTTCGAAACTCGCACGAGCCCCTTCACTATTCGCATTTCCTAAACCTGCAGATTCGCAGCCGATGCAATTTTTCACTCGGGTAATTCGTACTGTTCGTTTCACGTCACGCGTTCGACCGATGCGGCGCGCGGCGCGCGGCGCGCGTACGAGAGTTCATTAGAACGCGATTCTACGTAAAGGCGGACGATGGCTTTCTCCGGACGATTTCGACGACCGTCGAGAAGCGACGGGCCGATCGATATCGATCGTGCGCGAGATAGCGATGCGTCAAATGAAAATTCAATCGAGTCCGTCGTTCGTCAAACTCGATACATAAATTTGAATTTCGACGAGCGCACGCCGATCCGTATCTCACGTTGAACGTGCGAATTATACTTTGACGATGGAGGCAGACAATGACCGGATAATTCTCACGGAATCTGCTACCACGAATCAGATTAATTCGATTGTTTCCAGCCAAGTGCATCTCGGAATTGCAGCTGTTTCAAGATAAAATGTCCCGCTGACACTGGTCGTATTTATTACGGAACACGTTCGATCCGGTCGCAGTATGTGCGTACCTCAAGCTGACCAGGAGATAAGGAGAAACTGTGTCGATGGAATTAATATGGAATCGGGTCGCGTAACGCTTTGAACAAACGTACCTGGTGTCACAGCCGATAATGGACGATGGTCATCGCGATCGCTGAAGCCATCGCAACGTTTTCCCCGGGGACGCCGGAAGGATTTCTTCGAGAGCAGCACTCTGCGAGCGTTTCGCGGGTCGAAGGAAACAGACGTCGACGAAGGCGTGTAGGCTCCACGTGCGACTGGGAATACGCGGTACCGGCGAATTCGCAAACAGAATCGGAAAGTCGCGGTCCAGCTTTTTTCGACGCGAAAGCTTTTGACGGACGTGGAAAGACGGACGGTCACGCTCTGTCCTGTTGCGAGTCCGCGAGGTATCGAACGGACGCTCACCAGCGAGCTGAAAAGTTGACAGCCGAGGTGAATTCGCCTTTGCGCGGTGCCCCGACGAGTCTGCGCATTAATACCCATCTCTCCTCGAAGCGTCGTCACGTGCTTCTGAGTCAGTGCGCGCGGCACAGGTTTGGCGTGCATGCCGTAGCCGTGCGTCGGTGGGTGGGCGATGAAAACGGGAAGAAAAAGGAAGAGGACGTGAATCCCCGCCGACGTCCGCCTCTGACGTTGTTCGAATGAAAACTCTACTAGGTAAACTTTCGATAGAAATTCCAATGTCGAGGTGGAATCGGCTCTAACGTAAGAGCTTCGAGAGAACCTACAGATCTTGCTCTGCGATACGGACAAACGATTCGATCGTAAGGTAGACAACGATAATTATTACAAGATCTGATCGACGCTTTTGTTTTTATACCCGTTCCTCGCTCGGTATCGTTGCTCGTCTCGTCGTTCTTCTCATCGTCATCTCTGGCTATTGTTAGATCATTTATATGTACATCGTGAGAGCAAAAACCGAGGAGGAAAGAGATTGGCGTGAATCCCCCGAATACATGTGGACCACAGTTTCCTCATAAAAGTTTCCCAGGTGAACACGCGACCTACCGTCGAACCTGCTACTTGCCACCCGCGGTGTGCATTTCGTAGAACGTTTTCACCTTCCTCCGTTTCGGCGAATTCTGATCCGCGCTGAGTTCACGTTTTGTCTATTCGGTTTTGCGTTCGCCTCGAAATCGTCGTTTTCAATCGGTTCCAATCTCTGCTCGTTAAGCGCTGTAACGAGCATCGGTCGTTCCAACAATTTCGAAATGGTTCCGGCCACCGACGATGGACAAAAAGTATAAATATAGATCGAATCGTAGGTACGACGCTGCTCAACCGGCTGATCGCGATCCTCGAATTTCTTAAACAACGATCCGCGAGACGGGTCGCATCTGGAAACACGGTCTCGCGTGTCGTTAACGCGTATCCTAACTCGCAACATCGTTTACCTATACAGAGATGGTAACAACCGAGCTAAAGAAAATTGATCGCTACACTTTCGGTGCTGTAATATTTATTGTTAACAGCATCGACACGTGCGTTCGTTGCCACGTAAGCGAGTTACAGAAGGATAAACGAACCGGTCATGATCACATACATTCAATTCCACGCGAAAGTCCGATGGCCGCTCAAAGTTTATATCGTATTATGAGCGATTCGTTGACGTACAATTTGGTCGTCGTTCATCTTCGCGCGAGCTATCGTCGAAAATAATTAAGCGATCGGTCACCCAACACTCTGTGACGTAATCAACGATGTACCGTGCCGCTGCTAAGTACGCGATCCCCACTATCTGATATTTCTGCCAGTATGGAATGCCTAAATCTTGCACGCGACTTTCTTCGGTATCGGCGAACGTTCTTCTATCTTTACCGAAACTGATGATAATGATAATACCCTCGATCGTAAAACATGAACGTTCGACGAAAGCCCGGTCTTTCGGGTACTCTTCTCAACGACGCCGTTAGTAATTGCTATTTACCGTGTACGGCGTTACATAATTTGCTCGACGATCGCGTGGTTCGTTAAAAGGATAAGCTCGGTTTCCCCGAGATCTTTTTCGACGCGTGTCCTGCTATCTTGCATTTCGTTTCCGTTCCTCTCTTACGTCACGGCTAGAACTACACCGAGCGAATTCATACCCATTGTTAGCCTAATGGAAAATAATATCGTCCCTGGCGAGTCGAATCGGATATGAAACGGATTAGAATCGGGTGCAGTAAAAAAAATCGTGAATGCGACTGGTAATCGTTGAACGAATCGGGCGTCGACATCCGGATCCACTCCGCTTTTTATTAAACCGTTTCCATCATCTCGTCGAACGACGTTTTCATACAATGCTCGATGGAACGATTGATACAGCAGCGTTTCGTCCGATACAATGTATCGTACAATATTCAATTTGCTATAATGGTCGTTGCGACGGTCGACACAGTAAGTAATTGATACGATGTTCGATGTGACGATCGATACACCTACCTAATCGACGATGTACAAACTGTGACAAATGAAACGACGAAGGAGCGGACGAGTCGTCTTTCGATTCGTTGCCACGCGTTGCACTCGTGAACGGGAGAGAAGCTTCGTGAATCTCGCCTAAAGTTAACGCACCCAGCGAACGGTGTGTACTTTACGTCTTGCGAGTTCAGAATGAGTTCGTTCAATGAAACAATAGAGAAGTTCGTAGAATGCGCATCATCGCTTCCATTGTCACACGTTCGATTATTTATATACAATTGTCATATCTCTCGGGTCAGATGATCCGTTTATAACGCGATTGTCCATCGGTCATGAACCACCATAAAGTTGGCCACCATTTACATCGGTTTCTTCTGTCGTCCGTGTAAATCGCTATCGTTATCTTAGAACGTTCATGAACCTAGTACAACACAACTGCCGGTGAATCATGCAGTCGATGTCAATGCGATGATCCATGTGCCGTCGATGACACGTTGAACCGTGTCAATCGCGTGATTAGAATCCCACCGCCGCCGCTATGGAATCGGCGAACGATGCGATCTGATCGTAAGGAGCAACGAGAAATCGACGTTTCGGTCGAGATTAGGAATAATATCGCCCGAGGAGCTGAACCTCGCGGAAACGAAGCTGGGAGATCGTTCTGCTTGCGATCTGAGGAACGTTCAATTCCTCGTCCGTACGTATTGAATTGACAAACACGAAACACGTGATTCTCCGTTACCTACGGTACATGCACTGTCTCTGTCGATTATTCGCATATTGATCGCATCTTCCGAGCGTTCCCTTGAAGACTCTCAATCAGTTCCGTAACGCTTCTTCGTTTTCGACGTTCACGCAATGTTCTCTCTTTTCTCGCCCCGCCTCGCCTTTTTTTTACAAGCGTTACACCTCGTCGAGTCTGCACGTTTAAGCTCACGTACAATAGCCAATTAGGAAGAGTAGAAATTTATATAACGCGGAATCATTTACGATCCTCCGTCGACTGTGTATAATTGTCGCACGTTCCTTCTGAATTTCTTGCAACGTAGCAGTCCCCTCGTTAACTCCGGGCAACGGAGTTGGCATAGACATTCGAGATCGATCATCGGTGGCTGTGCCTGATGAGAGTCCGTTCAGTGGATGATCAACAGACGGACGTATAAGATATTGACGTTCCTTTCGTCCCCGGGGGTGGTTGGGGTAAAATTGGTTTTGTAGGGAACGGGTTGACGTCGAACGACGAGGTGGCCGAGTGGTTAAGGCGTTGGACTGCTAATCCAATGTGCTCTGCACGCGTGGGTTCGAATCCCATCCTCGTCGACTTCGCTTTTTGCAAAAGGACGTTGATAGACGTCTACGAAGGATGGAAAAGCAAATGTTGGAGCGATCGTTGAAGAGACGATCGTCCGACGGGAGGTCCTCCCATCGAAATATCAACGGAACTTGCGCGACGACAAAGTCAACGGAAGGGAATCACGTGCTGTCACGTGTGTGCGTCGAAATTATGGAGAATGACGAAACGAAATATGGACATCCTTAAAATATCCTTCTCGAATCGGCGTCGATCGCTGCTCGACGATTGCACAATGGATTATGTAACCGCGAAATGCGCTTCGCCGTTCGATCATAAATTCTTTTCGGTTCGTTCCGGAACCGCCTGGGTTCGATATCGCGTGATTTTAACGTCGAAGGGATTGGAATTGGGGGGACGGGACCGCGGGGAACTAATTGGAACAATGGTCTCGTGGAATATTTCGTTAGATGGATTTTCCGTTTAGCGCGACGTCGGGTCGACATCGGGTACCGGCGGCGTAAAATAGTTAATCGTGGATTATTGAACAAGGACGAAGATCTGCTTGACGAAGCGTAACGCGGCGGTGGTACTTGGGCGACAAAAGCGAGATTGACGAATCGTCACTGGTATTCTCTACGATCACGTTTTACTTCCAACGATTAATATCGATCTTTTCCCTGGAACTTCGCCGAGATCGTCGCGCGCCCATCGCTTTCATAAAATTCAGTTACCTCTGCGTGGCGCGTACTCGTGTGCGCTGCAGCGTAAAAATTAAACCGAGTCACCGAAAATCGAAACGCGACGATCAACTTTCGAGAAACGACGAGTAAACCTGACGACACGTGTAAATATTTGTTTGCTGGTTTGTGGAGCGAGGACAAGAATGTTTGTCCGGTATCTGTTGGAAAAGCTTCTCGGCGCAATTATACTTTGCAAATTGTTGAAGGCAGCGATATCGCGCCGATCAAGGCCATCGATCGGATAAACGCGCGGTAGGAAGTGCGATCGTGAATCGTAGCCCGCTGTCAAGATTAGATTTATTCGAGTTTTGCCGGGTATGTACGTAGAATGGCTAAAACACATAGTCGTGCACACTATTTTAAAATAGTTATCGATTATCAACGATCCAAGGCATTCCTGTTTCTAATCTATTGCACGGAAATGATTCTCATCGTTTCCACGGAACGCGCCGATAGTTCGCGGATACTTCGAGCACGCTCAGCGTCGTTCGCTAATTTAAATTGAAAGAGATCGAACGGCGGCGTTCGTCGTCGGATTTAGACGAAGCGGAGGGAGAGCAGAAATAGGAATCGCAGACATAATATGTTCTCACAGCTGCTTCAGTTTCTATTGTATTACGTATTGTTTATGACATTGTGCAGACATTTTTCGAGCGATGATACTACATCGAGTCGCGCTTCAATAATCGCGTACTGTATTATCGACGCTACCAGTCACACACTCGTTAGATTACATTACGTTGCCTTTTGCGTTGTCCACTGTGTGCATGTGCTTCGCAGCTAGTTCGATACAGTGTTCCATTATGCGAAAATGTCACACGCCGGAAGAAGTGCTGCGGAGACGACTCCCTTGTTGAGTAAGTTTTATTTCACGAGGTTTCCCTATCTCTCAACATTACACGTATGTATATGTATGTATATACGTACACATGTACATGTACACGTGTGTCGCGACGCGATCTCGATTGCTTTTAGGATTATCAATTTCTTTCGGCAAAGTCGTAGATCGCACTTAGAACTCGTGAATCACTGTGAAATTCTTGTCTCGTTCGGATGCGCTAGTCCTCATTCCGTAAAGACCAGAGGTTTCCATATATTTTGAAGGGAAACGTTTTGCGTTTCCTACGTACATGTGTTCCTACATAATTTTAGATCTTTTTCCACGTTACATCGATCCATCTAGCGCGTTGGAGCACGTTCGCTTCCGTGGCAGTCGTGGCCGAGTGGTTAAGGCGTCTGACTAGAAATCAGATTCCCTCTGGGAGCGTAGGTTCGAGTCCTACCGACTGCGGGGTCAATTGGCGGCTTAATTTTTTTTTCTATTCTGCGCTTCGAAACTTGTTTGTCACATTTTTAATCGTGAGAAGCAATTAAAAACCGAGTCAAAGTTAAGTATACCGACTTTTAAGAAAATAATCCTGACGAGTGAAATTCCTGAATGAACGTTTGCAATGCGATCATGTCACGCACCTCTCGTTAGCCTTTGTTAAGTTCGCGTTTAAACTTGATTGCCGCGCGCTTGTGACAATCACGCGGTCGTGTGTGCCGAGATAACATTGATCCGACTCATTTCGCCAGAGATCCACCGACTTTTACGTTGACGCCGAACCGCGGATACGATTTATAGAAAAATCGTGATCTGCGGATAGTGGAAGGAACGCGTGTAACGTGCAAGACGTCGATCGTTATCCTCGAAATCTGAACTCGGATTTGACTTCTTAAATCGATGTCAGGACCGTTTGACCTTACACAAAAGTCCGGGAACTAATGGCCTCGTGACACTCTAACTTTGACGGCCGATCGTCGAGTTCCAGGTTCATTCGAGCGTCTCGCGAATTTGCATGCATCGTTACTGTTGTTACTCGATCATGTGACAAGTTATCAAGTGGAATTAGCGGACTCGTCCGATAAAAGTCGTCGAGATACCGGGATCCGTACGCGGTATCTCGATAAACAAAGAAATTCTTCCCTCGCAGTGTCGATCGTCGTTCCGACGCGACTTGTCTGCGGAGCTCCCTGGCTCGAACGCGTCATCGTGTTCGTCGATTTCGCTGCCGAAATTTATTCGTTTCCGCCTAGACCACCGTCGCCGTCGCCGCTTGAACTTCGTGAACGCTCACGTGTGGCAGCGTGAAGAACGGATCCAGAAACTGGCAGACCGTAAAAGCGTTCGCCGGTGGTGGTGCACGCTCGAATCTCGCGAACAATCATTCATTTCCTTGCCCAAATCGGATTAGATCGGAGAGAGGAAGACTCGAATGAACATGTTGTGTAGGTACAAACGTTTCGCTCGAATCGGGTCGATCGAGAAAAGATAGTGCGCACGCTAATCGTGCTCGTACAGATACACGTGCGTGCTTTATAAACCGATCAGGTCGCCCGTCAAAACGGAGTCGATCAGAAGTTCGTTTCATTGCTAGGACAATAGAATTCTTTCGCCCTTATACGTTCGTTCTTTGCGTCGATGATGTTTCACGATTTATGTAATTCCATACAGAACCTGCTGACGTCGAGGAGGCTCAGTTAATTACTCGTTCGGGACATATAATTTCAGTATCTTGCGTGGTTCGTTTCGCATTCGTTGTACGAGAGTATCGTTACTTTTGTCGTCGGTTAGCCACGTCGCTTTCGCGAGGTGAAGTTTTCGTTGCGAAAAATGCCAGAGACGTCGTACGTCCCAGTTTCGAGGAGTAAGGTTCCGATCGATGAGACCGAAGTGCCCTCCGCCCTCAGGAATCGCAGAACCTTTCGTCATCGTTGCCGTGCTTTCATTCGGGATTATTAATCGGGACACTTGCAGAAATTCGAGCGAACTTTATCTCAGAACGATGATTCGAGGATAATAACGTTTGACGTTTTAATTGTCCGTTAACGATCGATTGATTACTCGATTAACGACGATCGTGGTGATTGCACGCGCGACTCGTTCGCGGGGGTGACGAGTCGTTTGATCGATCGGTCGGCAAGTCGGACGTCCGGAATAAAAATTGACGACAAGCAATTCGAAAGTTTCAGGGAGGAACGTCGGTTCGAAGTTCGATCTGAAGCAGATCCTTCTACGAAGGATACCGATCCTGGCATGGCTGCCTCTGTACGGTTCGTCGAAATTCCTGCAGGACGTTTTGGCAGGACTGACAGTCGGTTTGACCGCGATACCGCAGGGTATAGCTTACGCAATAGTCGCCGGACTCCCAGCACAGGTGTGTACGCTTGTCATACGTCGTTTAAGGGTTTCTTATACAGCGGAAAGTCCTCGCGGAACGGGAAACTGAAATTGCTTCTCCGAAACATAGAACACGACGTCCATGCTGACCACTGATATCATAGCCCACTCGACCACCACCGGCCATTGACCATTTGACCACTGACCATCATAGATCATTGACCATACTAATTGCGCCCGCTCTGTCTTATCGCTGACGTGTAATTAATTTCGTACATACGCTTGATCGACTTCGTTCTGACGCGAGAGCAAAGTGAGAACGGTGCATACCTATGTCCATCCGTTCGTCTCCGCTGAGAACGACTTTCGCCGGTCGGGAAGATGGATTCTCGTTAGGTGAACTTTTGAAAACTTCAGTACGGCCTCTACAGCAGTTACATGGGTTGCTTCGTCTACCTGGTGTTCGGCAGCTGCAAGGACATCACGGTGGGACCTACGGCAATCATGGCTCTACTGTCGCAACAGCATGTGATGAGGCTCGGAGATGACATCGCGGTAAGTGCATCGTTTTGTTCCACCAAAAAAAAAAAAATGGGTCTGCCCTGACGTTTCGTGTAACGCTAACGATAGAACGATCGATGAACCGTTCTGTTTCGCGTGATTCGTCCATTTCTGGAGTTTCGGTCCGAATCATAGATCGAGAACTCCATGTTCGGTAGAAAACGTACGAAAAGTGTGGCATGCGAAGAAGAATACCGAGAACGGAGAGAGATGAAAAGTGAGACCGGGTATTGTTTGTTCCTCAGGTACTTCTGTGCTTTTTGTCGGGTTGCGTGATCACGGTCATGGGACTGCTCCATTTAGGATTCCTCGTGGAGTTCGTTAGCATGCCGGTGATCTCTGGATTCACGAACGCGGCTGCCATTATAATCGGCACCTCGCAGTTAGGCACGTTGCTCGGTTTGAGCGGCAGGAGCGACTCGTTCGTCGACGCGATCGTTAAAGTTCTCGATCACGTCAATGAGATCACCGCTTGGGATCCACTGTTAGGAGTCTGTTCGATGATCGTCCTGGTCTGTTTGAAGGTAAGCCCGCCGTCTCTCGATCGCTGAACCCGAGGTACGTATAAAGCGACTGTTTGAACGTCGGAAACAGAAACTGCCCGGGAAGAAGGCCGGGACGCCGTTCGAAAAATTCTTATGGGTAACGTCGCTGGCGAGGAACGCGGTGATCGTCGTCGCTGGAATTCTATTGAGTTACACGTTGTCCCGTTACGACATCAGACCGTTTAAAATTACTGGCAATATTACGGAGGGTCTACCGCCGCTCGCACCACCTCCGTTCAGCGTCGTAAAGGGAAACCATACGTACAATTTCGTTGAGTCAGTCGTCGAACTCGGAAGCACCGTCGTCTCGGTTCCCCTGATCGCTATTTTGGAGAGTATCGCTATCGCCAAGGCTTTCGGTACGTTGCACGAACATTGATAAAATGATCGCGACGATTTTGTTCGCGTCCTCTTCTGTTTACACGAGCGATCGTTCGCGATCGAGCTCGTGCGTCCGTTCACGAAACGAATCGTTGTTGATCCAGCTAAAGGGAAGACGGTAGACGCTAATCAAGAGATGCTCGCCCTGGGGCTGTGCAACGTTTTCGGTAGCTTTACCCGATCGATGCCAACAACCGGGAGCTTCACGAGGACCGCCGTGAACAACGCATCGGGCGTAAAAACACCGATGGGCGGCGTAATCACCGGATGCCTGGTGCTCTTGGCGTGCGGCCTTCTCACCTCCACTTTCGAGTTCATCCCGAAAGCAACGCTGGCCGCGGTGATCATGGTTGCCATGTACAACATGCTCGAGCTTCGTATTTTCACCGTGCTTTGGCGTACCAAAAGTAAGAATCCCGTTCAACTAGATACATCGGGGCATTGCATATTTTTTTTTTACGAAGAACGGGGATTTCAAATTCAACGCGACGTGCCTTCGTTCATTGTCGGCGCGCAAATAACGGAGATGCCTCGACGCGGAATTTCGACAAGACTAGCTCCGTAAGATTTGACGACAGATTCTAGAGAACTCCGAAGTAACGCTTGTCGTTCACGTTCATACGGTCCCTTTTGAATCCGCGACGATCTCCGTAACGCTCCGTAACGTAAATTCTTGTCCTACGATATTAGTGCCGTTTTAACGACATCTCTCCTCGAAACAGATTTCGTTCGTATCCGACGATCCGGCACAATAATTTAGCGTCTGTCTCCACTCGTAGAGATTGACCTGATACCTTTGACGGTGACTTTGTCGAGCTGCCTGGCGATCGGTCCGGAATACGGCATGATTGCCGGAATCGTGGTAAATCTGATTCTCCTGCTCTATTTCGCGGCCAGACCCGGATTATTGATCGAGGAGCGAGTCGTCGATGGCCTGACGATCCTGTTCGTATCGCCGAAACAGTCGCTGAGCTACCCGGCCGCAGAGTATCTCCGCGAACGCATCATGTCCTGGTAAGTACCATGTCACGTCTTCGTTCGCGAGGCCCGTCGCCGTTTAAATTTCGTCGTCGTCGTCGTTCAGGGGCAACAACGGATCGCGACAACGCATCCCCGTGGTGGTGGAGGGCCGCCACGTCCTTCGGATCGACGCGACCGTGGCGAAGAACCTCGCTCTGTTGTTGGCCGACTTGGAAGCCAGGGGACAGAAGCTCGTCTTCTGGAATTGGTGCGAGGAGGCCAGGCGAACTCTGATAAGTTACGACGCTACGCTTACGATGTCCTTCCGAGCTTCCGGCAGTATCGTTCAAATATTCTCAAGCAGAACGTTCCCATCGCCGCACGTCTTGCGCGAGTGAAACTCTAAACGCAATTTCCTTGGAACGCGGCCAAAGTTCATGGTTCCCGGTTCGCGTTCGAACACAAAATGCATCGTCGCTCTTGGCGTGGATCCGATTCGTTTCGTTCGACGCTCGTATGGACAAAGTCACGAGAACAATTTCCGTACGAGGACCTCTACGGTACGTGATGCGCAATTACGTGAAGCTTGGCTTTCTTAAAATTGGACATGGAAAGATCTGACGATTTTAGACATTAGACGATACGAGATCAGACACATAACTTATTTTGTTAAAGATCATTAATTATTGTTCGTCCGTCACATCGCCGCTTGACACGAACTTGAAAAGATCCTTTTCTCATTACTTTCCCTATCGCTCACCTTCGTTCCTATGATCGTTTTATTACTTTAAAACAGCGCTCTACACGCGTGTACGTACGTAGCGAGCGTAGTCGGACGTCAAAGCGCGAAGGTAGAACTGCGTTACGAATTACGCAAAGCGCAAAGAAACAGCTGGTGATGGGTACGCACGTTCGTTTGGGTAAACGAACGGGGTGAAAAACAGCGATCGAGAACGATCATCCCATCAATAGGCAAAAATATCATTCAAGTTCGGTACTCATCCGGCGACGAAGATGACAGCTTCCGCGCCCTTTTCGCGCCGAACGCTCGGAAAGTGCAGCGGTCGGAAAGTGCGCGCGCGTCGAGGGTCCATCAACGGGCCAATGGGAAAGCCGGAGAGGCAGAGGGTGCTCCGATCGATGCAGTTGCCCTGGGAGCGTGCGCCAGTGGTGGTCGCAGGTCGGCCGTTTGTCGTTTGGAACGCGGTCCGTGGGCAGCGTCGAGGCGACCCTGATGACATCCGAGTCGAGGACGTCGTGCCAGTGCGTCCGTTTTCCCCATTCGGCTGTGTCTTATCGCGCGAGTTCGATCGTCACGTTGCAACGCGTCGGTGGACGCTGTTTTTGTTTATGGCGTAGCGGCGGCGCGACCACGATCGCGATGAAATAATGAAGCAGACGACCGCGACCAACGACAACCGTCGAGAAGATGCCGCCGGCAGGTCGCTGCACGGCAACGGGAAATGCGCGACAGCTGGACGGTTTCGCCCTGTAATCGTGAGTAACTCGTCCTTTCCTGTTCGAGCCGACGTAGAACGCGGAGGCTGAAACGTCGCGTCCGCGTCAAAACCGTGGTCGGAGGTTTGACAGAGGTCAGTGTACTCGACGAGCCGTTCGGTCGCTCGATCGTTCGATTCCCTGTCGCGATATAGGGAAGCTGTCTCGTGGAATCACAGTTTCGATTTCTACCTACTTACCTCGAAACGTTTCGCAGTCGTATTCGACGTTGCCCTCACCAATTATTACCGGACCCGCTCGACGTTCCCGAACCGAGACGCTTCTTTGGCACCGGATCAGGTTATAGAGGTCAGTGTACTCGACGAACGTCCTTTAATTTTCTGTCACCATTAACCGACATACGGAATCGAAGCGCGGACTCAGCCTCTGCCCTTTCGAATCTGGTTTTCGTTCTCTCGTTTCATACGTTCTATCACGATCCCGTCCCCGACACCTCCGGACGACGATCCGTCAGTCGCGCTGACATTTTCGTCGAGAAAACGTTCGTCTCGTGCGGTTTGCTGTTGATACGCACGACTCGATGAAATTATGAAACCAATGCCGAATTTCAATTACGAATAATTATTTAAATGTCCGAGGTACGTAGCTCGTCGCTCATTAATATTTACTGTACGTCGATGCATATTAAGCGTTGCAGGCAATTTCCTTCGAAATCTCACCTCTCTCATGATTTACAAATCTTTGTGCGTAATCATCGTTAGGCAGAGTTTTTGCTTTCCGCTGCCATACTAATTTTTAATTGCATTTCAATAGCGGAAGTTCCGTCGACGTGTAAACGACAAAAGCGTTCAGGTTGAAGAGAGCGAGCGATCGAATCGAGAGATCTTTGTGCGACCTCGTGCATAATTACGAGTGTTTCCACTCAGCTATTTTAGCTCGAGCCAAAGTATTTTTAAGACGCTGTCTCTCCTATTCGCGATGGGACATCCTTGAGTCAGGATAAACGGAAGATCTTCTTCGGCATAAGAGAATTACGGGTACATCGAGGATTAAAATGGGTTCGACGTTTGAAATAATAGCGAAGCTGCATTGAAACTGGGAATCGTATGCAAACAGGTGCTTCTGGCGAGGCGAGGTAACGGAGGAAGCGAAATAAAAAGAGGTTTGCCTTCGATTCAGTTTCTCTCCCCGGTCCGACGAAATTTCTCGTCGCGATTCACGGACGACCGCTTGAACATCGAGGATCTGCCCGTTTCATCGATTAAATAAAATTCGAATCGGCCCGTAATGGACTGGACGCTAATTCTCGCAACGTTACGTCCCGAGTAAATGCAGCGCGCATAGCAATTACGTCGACGTTACGCGGCACGATTAGGGGATCGTTAGAATTCTGGGGGAATCGGGTGAATTAATTAAATACCGAAGATGAGTGATACGGTCCATGTTGAGAGATCGAGTGTACGAGTTCGTTTAAACGGAACTTGAACTCATTAAATATTCACACGCGTGTCACGTTTCATTGCTTTTTAATTCGATCTTTCATCGATCAGAAAGTAAAGTTTGAGAGAGCACCGTGCGTGTGTGCGCGCGCGCGTGGTTGTATGGTCGATGAAGATTACTCGAGCGAGACATTAGTAGGTTTGGTACATTTTTGTCGAAAGATTCGAGATTGTTGATCGTTGGAGAACGTCGTCCGTCCCACTGCGTTTTTGTTCGGAATTCCACGGACGATAACGCCCATCGTATCGATTCGCGGGGCACGCGTAGCCAGGAGTGGGTCTCAAGTGGGAAGTTCACGCGTAACCGGAAATAGGAACGTAGGTACTACACGTACAGACGTATCTGTGCATTCGGTCGCGTGCGTTTCCCCGCGTAGGAGCTTAGCCGGTGTAAACATATTCCCAATTGATTAGCTACCGTGGAGCTTCTACCGAACTTGTCAATGTTATCGCCGGGCTCGGCAAACAGGCGCGTTAGGCACACGGGACCGTGCTAGGTGGCTATAGATGTACTATGTTATTCATGAAATGAGATCGACCAGTCTGAACGAGCGTAGAAAATGTAAATTTCCACTAGAGCATTCGATCAGGATCAAGGCTCTTCGCGAGCTTAAACTATGAAATGCATGCGTCGTTCCTTATAAAAATCCTCAGTCTGGAAATTGAGTACCTAGCCGGTGAGTAACGGGAGAACGGGTTTTGTTCGTCGAATCTTTCGTTTAAACGCGAAAGTCGCTGCTTGCGATGATTCAGGCGTATTTGCGCGCGAGGTGATCGATGATCGTCCATTCGTTTCCTGCTCTCGCAATTAGAGATCGCGCGCGTACACTCGTCCGCGATCAGAGGCGTTAAATCATCGGCTTATCGCCGGGCAGGTAGATGCATCACCGAGGAACGGCTCTTCTCGAATCAGACATTGCCCGACTTTTGAATTACGAATCCCCATCTCTTCCCTTTAATGGTTCTGTTAACGGGTAAGAAGTGCTCGGTCGTTGATCACGTCGGAGGACGTGCACACGTGTACGAGCTCGTTTCGCGAATCGATCTGATGCGAACATTTAGTCGTAGACTCGGACGAAACTTTTCATTTCAAATCTTTCATTTTAATCGTAATCGTAATAGGGACGCGTGTGTCGTTCCAGTCTCGCGATCACTTGGACGCACCCCCCTCCTCTTTTAATTAGAGCCACACGGCCAACATCGCGACACGCGTTTTCGACGAGCCGCGCCGCGATGCTTCAGCGAATCGAGAGAACGACGCGCTGTTATTTTCTCCGTGAGCGCGTTGCATTATAAAAAGCATGAAATATGTAACGAGCTCGTATCGTTTCAATGGGCAACCGGATGAGATAAAAATTCTGCCGCACCCTCGATTAGGCCGACACAATTTGTCCGAACCTCGAATCACACGATTAAATTAGTAGTAACAGTAATTGTACGTGATCGTGATTGTTCTTGTTCGATGAAAAGTGTCGATGAATCGTGAACGGACGTCGGGTGAATCGACTCGGAGATAAAAGAGGATCGAGAGACGCCCACTGGCCGACGTTGAAAAGCGAAGCGAGCCTTTCTGTTTCTATTTGTGATGCCACGACGAATGTAGACGAACATTCAGATGAAAATCGTAAATGTATGATAATATAGCGGTAATGAACTGAAGCGAATCGATGGTCCTCCGTTGAAATTTATTAACCGCGGCGAGAGAATTTATTGGCCGACGCTCAAGGTCGATGATAGGATTAGACCTCGACGGAAAATGACAAGGCCGCGCGATACGTAAAAACTCGCGTGGCCCCGTCTCGCTCTGACGGAAACGAAACGTCGCGTCGCGTGGCATCGTTGAAAAGTACCGGCGGCGAAGCAATTAGGTGGACGATAAATTCCTGCCCATGCACTGAGCGCTTTATCGTTTTCCCGTCCCGTGACAAATGATCCTCGAGTGCCCTCCTTAATTCATCGCTCCTCGTCGTAACGTTCCCAACGTCCGTCGTCTGCAGGATACTTTCTCTCGCGTATACACCGCTGAAGCTCGTCGATATCGGTGACGGTCGTTAAAACGACGAGGAGGAAGGATCGACCGTCTCCGTAGCATCGTGCTCGACGACGGTCGACGAACGTTTACTCCTTCGGACGAAGCTGAATTCTTCGGGGTGTGACCGGCCAAAATCACTGAACGAACCATATTTCATTCTAGTAGGCTCGTGGCACGTATCGAATCGAAACGGAAAGTGTATTTCTGTTGGTCGATCGACGAAGTAGGTCGTTCGCTTGTAAGCCACAGTGTCCCGTTTTGCAGATGCGAGGAGAACGCGCCGCGGGGTCCAGCCGTGCGTCCGTCGTCAAATCTGAAGCACCGTGTCGCCACTCGGATACAGATTACAGATTACCTACCATCGTCCCGCGTCGATTTCATAAAGCACAGCCGTGAATCCTCTGCTCCGACCGTTCTATCTTTTTGTTCATTTCAGAAATGGTTTGGTACGTGCGCCGCTGCTGTTTCAAACGTTTCCGTACGAAAATCATGCAGTAGAGAAAAGGAGACTACGAGTCCCGCATCTCTGATTCGCGGCGCGGGGTCAGGCATTACTGACCCGCATCGGCCGTTAAACGGAAATTGCACGTTTGTCTCGTTGCGTGACAACGTTATCGCGGCAAAAACAGAGAAAGGATCGTTTCCCGACGCGGAACGAGATACGATTTGAGTTTTCTTCCCCCTCGTTACATCATATACACGTTTCGGTTGATCGAACGCGACGTACTCGCGGGAAATTACCACGGAAAATGAGAATTTTCAATCCCGCATCCACCGCGCTAATTGCAAATTGCACGGGGTATAATTTTCGCGTTGAACAGTAACGTCCGAGCGAGATGCACGCTCGCCCGTAAGTACGTTCTCGCAGAGTAAAGGTCAATGAATCACTGCGAACGATGTTTGTGAAACGATCCGCGAGGTCCCGTAAGACTGACCGTCGCGACGATTCGACAACTCTTACCGAGAGGATCGAAGTGCGAACAATACAAAGTTTCACATTTTTCGTCATAATTAGACGCGGACCGTGATCGAAACGTCTACGGTACGATACAACGATCGAGGGCACGCGTGTCACACCGATCGCAGACCGACGGGTAAAAGTCGATACGAAATACGCGCGGTAGCTCCAAGAAACATGAATGTAACCTTTTGCGTGTTTCAATTGAACGGTGAACAGTACGGTGGTAACCGATGTCGCAGGCATCGTAATTTTCGGATTGCTCCGGTTTCGAATAATTCAGTGAGGATCGAGCTCGTTCGACGGTCACGAAGTAAGTAATTGCTTCTCTTTCAATCCTGTTGAAACATTTTCCGTATGAACGTTGCGTTCGAGCTGATCGATCGGACGCGTTCTTCCAGTCAAAGTGAATTCTAATTTATTATCTCGAGGCTTTTAGACGCGATCAAATAATGATAATTCTATTGACTCGCCGCGCGGTGCACCGTTTGAAACGCATGTTTCACTTTCCCATCGGAAATCGTGTTTTCACCCCCTCGTCACCGTATCATCGATCTCCCGCGGCCTAGAAGGAACCGATTCGTACATCGTCCGAGGAACCCGTTCGACGCGGTTTACCCCTGGACATCGCTTCCTTCCGCTCGTTGCACCGAATCCGTTCCGAATGTCTTCCACGGATCATCGACGCTGACCGTTCGACGACGGCTGGTCGTGGTGCTAATTCGCCAGTGTAAACGACTCGTTCCCACTCGGCTCCTCGATCGTTTGCGTTTCCTGTTGGTCCACCGCGAAGCCGAACGACTCCGCTTTCAGTTTGCGTAACGTACCAACAGAGATTCTACCTCCGTTCGTTAAACTTAGCCGGACATCAGTCGCCGGATGTCAGAAAGAGGGGAAACAGAAGCGATACCACTAGTTTCTGACCACTGCGGACGTGATTTCCTTCTGCCTGTTGCGTCGAATCGATGGATCGTCAGGCGCTGAGGAGCGCGTGATACCAGCGTCGATCCCTCGAGGTTCGCTCTTGGACTTTTAATTCGACCTGATTCGCGGATTCAATGAAACGTTTCGAGCGGGATCTAAACGCTGCCGGACGAACGATTCGCCACCGGTTCTTCGTGCTTCCGCGAAAGCCGAGGCGAAGTAGAGTTTCGACAAATTCGTGTTCGCCAAGTCATTGAAGTTCAATCTGCGAACGCGACGTGTTCGTGTCACGTTTGTATCGCGAAACTTTTCCGACGAGACAGCGATGTATCCTCGGCGAAGGGACTCACCGCTATTTTTCTCCAATTTCAACTTTGCTGCCTTTCGAGGCGCTCCCCTGCCTACGAAGATTAAGCGCCACGAACTTTCGCCAAACTTCTCGTTGAACCGTGGCTCGATTCTGCTCGTGTCGTTGTTCAATTTCAGTCCGTTCAATGAACAAACGATCATCTGTGAATCGGTCGGACGAAAATGAATTACTAACGAAGGTGTTTTATTTTGCTCGCAGAACGAACTACCATCCCCATGCTTGCTCGCAGTGCCTTTCCTGGGACCACTTTAGGTGAGTAGTGAAGCTTGCATCCGTACGAATTTCAAACGATGGGATCGTTCGTATTCCATCCATCCCGATACGATTCAGGCCGCGCTTCTTGGCCCGCGTTCGTCATCGCGATACGAAACGTGCTCGTCGGGTCTCAAAGAAAGATCGTTAAGTACGAGCAAGAGGGGGTGAATTCGATTTTCCGAAGAAACAGTTCTGTCCTTCGTTCGTGGAGAGTCGTGGCCATGCACCGAGCCGACGAACTCGGTCCGTGTCGTCCAATACAGCTTTCGTTCAGCGTAACGAGTAGTTCTACGAACGAGCTCCTTTCGCCGGTCGAACGCGACCGTCGGCAGGCAATGTTTCGTGTAATAATGCTCTCACGGATGGTCGATAAAAATCTCTCGTCTACGTTGAACGCGTGATATAACGTGATCGAAAGTTCGCGACGCACGTTTATTAAAAGGAGAGAAACTCCCGATACCGTGGCAGATCGCCGATTTCCTTTCGTAAGATTCACGCGAGAGACACGACTCGATAAAAGATAGTTCGTGCCTTGTTACATTTTTCGATGCCGGGCAAATCTAACGGGGGTAGAGGACAGGACGGAGGTGGGACGGGTGACGTACGAGACTCGCGACTTTCTGGAATTTAATTCCAACTTCCCGGGAGATCAACGGTTTGATCTAAATCCGAAGTTCCTCCTGGCCGTATGCACATACGTGAGTAGGTATATTTGCACGGCGACCTGTCCCAGAAGTTACTCCCGTCGGGAGTCATCGGCTTGCACGGAGTAAAAACAAAAGTTTTACCATTTCAGTTATTAGTCGACTCTCCGTTCCGTTTGCCGGTTCTTTTTTCTGTATACGCGAGGTTGTCGCGAGGAAAAATTGCTGTTACCGAACGTACGAAGTCAGGATTTTCGCCTGAAACTTTTTAACGCGGAAAAGTTTCACTAGAAACCTGTATGTATAATGAGAGTGGGTCTCACCGTTCTTCCCTTTGATCGTCGTAACGAAATCGATGCTCGAAATTACCTCGTTTCACATTTGTCATTGTTTGATTTTATATTCTTGCACCGAGTTCAATCACGACTTGACCATCGAACGCACGTTCCATTTCGTTACACGAACTCTGTGTCCGTAAACGACAAAATTACCGCTCGTCAAATCGGTATTACCTGTTAATTAAAACCATCGTCACGTATTTATGAACGAACGAACACACTCCGTTCGATGATTGCCGTTACACGTTCACCGTTAATTAATTGCGATATGTTCATAATTACTTGGTACACGGCGCTTCGTGCCGCGTTACAAAATCGAACGCCTACTCGTCGGTACGAGGGAGGCATAGTTCTACGTTGAACCGATTAACGACGCGTGCGAACGTGAAATATTTGTGTAAACGCGAGAAATCTGCGTGTCGCTCGGAGGGCAGTCGTGAATTCTTCGACTCGAGGATGGAACGCGAACGTTCAACCCGATTACTACGTCGACGGCTCGGCTCGACGATTGATGCGCGATTTCATGGCCGCAAACCTCTTTACTCGGTCACCGTCCTCGATCGGTTTTCACCGCGACGAACTCGAAGTAGATGCGCTCGACGACGTCTCGATACATAAAATTTCCGAATGTTGTACAGAAAGTTCGTGCGAATGGGTTCACGTTCATCGAAGGCGTAGCGAGGCAGCACGGTTGACGTCGTCCGTGGTCGTGTCGACGGAAGCTCTGGAGGATGGGTTCCCGAAGGAGCGGTTCCGGCGGGAACCGGGCGAACGCCGGCGTTCTGAAGGACCGGGCGAACATGTCGTTCATGCTGGTGGTCATGTTCTTCGTCGTGTTCGGGCTGATCGTCCTCACGGAGATATTCCTGATCGACGAGAGGCACGACGCGGGCGGAGGTGGCACCGGGGCCCTGGGAGGTCACAGAAGCGGACATCGTTCGCTAGCTGCGCAGGATCGTCCAGATTACGGGGATATCGGAGTAAGTATGCGATTAAGACTGTCCACTTGATTAAGCGCGATCGATACCGATTTCCTGTTCGCACCCGATTCGAAACAGACCGGTCTCGTACATGTCGTTTCGAAACACACGTTTTCACGCTCAAACCATTCGTCCGTTTCCAACGTCGCGAGCGTGTCGAAGCATACGATCGAAAATTGGATAGATCGTCGTTCATAACGATGCGAGAACGAAGCGGTTCGACGGGATCGATGCGCGATCGAACGGTAGATCTTCCCCGAACAAGACCGAACGAGCGAGTCGTCAGACTCGATTTATGAGGGAGGATCGGTTCAACGCATTACATCCCGGTCGACGCACCGGCGCTGTTTATTTTCGTTTTGTCAACCGCTTTAATCATCGTTAGTCGCTGGCAAATATTGATCCGTTGGATGGGGGGCGGCGGCGGGTTAGTCGGACCCCTGTCCCACTGCGAGAAAAATCGGGGAAACACAGGATTCGTCCTTGTTTGGACATCGATCACGCTGGCTCGACGAGCTCTTCGAGCCTACGTAGTACGCGTTTGTACACACAGATGAAACGGGTAAGTAACTGAAACGATTGCGAATCGCACGTTTCCTGCAGTACAATTTCGACGTTGCGATCGATCCCTTGCTTCGGTGAAACGTACGTAGATCTAAAATATATTACGCGACCGATCATCAGTGACGAAGGCCCTATCTCTTGTCATCAGCCGCGATTCGCTCGAATTTGTAATCGTGTCGATCGTGTATTTTTCTACGAGTGTACAAAATCCGTGGTCAACCGTAGAGTATACTTCGGACCGAAATGTTGAACGATCGTACGATTACGATGCTGCTCGTGTTTGTATACGCTGTGCACACACGTGGTTTAGCGTTAAGTTGCCAGGTGGACAACGATAACGTCGGCATCGGAAGTACGACGTGTGTACATAGAAAAATTAATAGCCGAGTAAATAATGGTAGATCGTTTGAACGCGGCTGGTGGTGAAGAGATAAGTGTGATCGCCCGTCTTTCATACTCACCGAACCATTGATCAGATCGAGATTCGGACCGGCACAGTAGCGTCTGGACGTGTACTTAAGTGAAAAATGACATCGAATGAGATTCGGGAATTGGAACAGACGTCCCGCGTAACGCGTTCCATTCGGTCTCTGGGAACAATGGACGAATAAACGAAGAGGACGACGGAGAGGGTGTCACGGGGTCGTAGGTGACGTCCTGTTGCCTCGGCCCGGGCCGGAAACCATTTCCAATCTCCGCTATAAAGTTCGCAATCATCGCGAATAAAAGGGAGCAGATTATGACCTAAAATCGTGCTTTGGTGTCCTCGCCTCCGGGAAATTAAAACGTCTCGATGGCCGGCGGCAGTCCGCGACACAACCGAGTCGTCCTGACCGTCTCCAGCTTCCCTTCTCTCGTTTTACACGCTCTCTTTCGTCGTCGTGACCCGTTTGCTTCATGGCACGCTCAGAAACGTTATCGGGCAAATTGATGCGGACTTTGATCCGATGATCGACGTAGCAGCTAGCAGCCTCGACGAATCGGGGAGATTGGAGGTGCGTCTCCGTTGGAAGCAGGGTCGACAATTCTGAAACGTTTCCCCCGTGCGTTTCCTGTTCGAAAGGGAACCGGTAAAAGACTTTCGAACTAATGGCAAGGGCTCGACTCCTCTACGTGGCACGGCCGCTGCCGCTTTGTTCGTACAAAAAAGAATGGAGACGGAGAACTTTCCCATCCCGGTCCATCGATTCTCGCCCTGTTCTTCTCTCTGTTCTTGTCTGTGCTTCTATTTTTATTCCACCCGGAGCATCGTGGAGCGCGGTCGGGTTTTATAGGCTTTTCCTTTCTACCGGACAATGATTCGAATGAGAACTAGTTCGCGTGGCATCGGCGCCGCCATTTAAAACGATATCGATTCCAGCGTCTACGTGTTCTCTCCCTTTCGCGTTTCCTAGCCAGAGACGGGGTGAAGGACGCGCGTTCTTAAAAAATACCGATGCACTGCAGAGTGGTACGCGTCTCGCGTAACTAGACATTTGTATTCGTCCCTTCGCACAGACGATTCCAAAAGTGTGTGCACACGCGTACGAGCTGACGATCGATACGAAGCACCGTTTCAAATTGTCCTTCGTTCATCGATTCTACCGTAGAGCCTTGGAAAATGAATTTCGGTCCTTCCGTGTCCGAGCGTTCGCTCGAAAGAGAACTTTGTTCGTGAACAATTTGTCAAACATCTTTCTGAACTCGACGAACGTGTAAGATCTCGTCGGGAGAAATTTCTCCTGTTCGAATTCGCGTTTCAAAGCGGCTACGGAAACATTTTCGATTAAGGATGTAT